ATCATGAAATTATTTTAAAACAATACAGAACAAATTTATTTGCCATTGTAGTGTTATTGTAGTCAGTATTGTTACCATGGCAACAGTAATATCAGCCTTAATGTTGGGCCAATAAATGTAAGACTGAATGTCTTATCTCAAAACTTTAATCTGCTTATATTTTACGGTTCAAACTAATCTGTCTATTTCAACTGGAGGTGAATGGGGGTTATGCAGGGTTGTTCGACATTTCTGCTCCAGCTTTGACACCCAGCTCTCTTCCTTCTGCTGTTGCGTCAGATCAGTCACTAACAGTTTTAAATGAGATGATGCAAAAGTATAGTTGCCCCTGTCTTACTCCATGATGGTAGCATTGGCAGCGAGTTTTCTATTGTTAATCCTCTTGTAAATGTCATCCCTGCTTAAATCTCTAAAGCGTCAGACGTAAACTAGTTTTTCTTTTTTTTTAAATCACAGGCAAGGGTGAAATTTGGTGAACTACTTTCTGCAGATTGATTTGTTATGATTCGTGAAATCAGGTTGGCGCTGTTGTTGAGGATTAATCTCCAGTATTACAGGAATTAAATATTTAACACCGTCTGATAATGAAAAACTACTGTTTTAATGTTATCTCCTCTTAACTTTGACTGCACAGCAGGGAGAGAGATTTGCATAAATGCAGAAGTGTAACTAAACATATGACACCATTCTACCGGCTCATGACTTACTGTGGAGTCAAAATGACAGCTCATCATAAACATTCAGACATCAGACGGTAAACGTGTGAGTGCTTGCACGCTGTGAGTGTTTGTTCAATCTCACACTCATTATTCAGTATGAGAATCTCTGCATCTCTCGACTGCATTCATTTCTCACATTTCTTATCAGTCCTCCTATTTTTGAACACTCAAACACGGATCTGATTTCCTAATTAGATTAGCATAGTGACTCATACTGTACAAAAAAAGAAAACAATCATCAATACAATCATCACTGCAGCTTCCTCAATTTCAGAGGAGTTTTGAGACCTCCAGATCATTCCCTGCTCTGTATAATGTAGACTTCCACATGGTCCTCGGTGAATGGGTGCCATAATGGCAGAGACCATTAGTTGTGGTTGCGGTTTCTATGGCGCCCATCTCCTCTGTGACATTGGCTTTCTCTACATAATAGGTGAAAGACGGTCAAAAAGAAAACCGGTAAGAAAGGATTTCAAGAAAGACAAATTTCAGGCAGGATTACATTGAAAGAGACACCACCATCATGAAAGGAGAATTCAAGTAATTGCATCAATCTGTGCCGAGACATGCATCCATCATTCAGCACTGTAACCTTGCATAATCATTGCACCAAGTCACTGGTGTGAGCCTTCCTCTTACATCCTAACACCTTTTTTTTTGTATCCTGTCTTCTAATGCTGTCGTTAGTAACATTAGTGCATTAAGTGCAATTTACTCTGACAGGTGCTGCAGACTTATTGTACCTCACAGTGAATGTAATAACACTACAGCAGCACTAAATGGCCCTTAATGTTCAGTTTTGTTCCAGGCTGCGGAGCATTGACTCAACTTTATGGTTCTGTTTGAGTAACATAACTATTTAGTTATGCCTTATTCACTTTATGCTGTTGAGTTTCTAGTCATAAACATCTTTCATTTTGCGTATGCCCTTATTTTGAATCAGAGAGGTATGATATAGTATATCAGCCTGGATAAATAACCTGGAGGGGATATTTTGGATGTAATTGATTGGACTAAACCAACCATTCAGAGGTGCTTTATTTACTTATCAATGAGCCAAGACATGTTTACATAGTGGATGGCAATATATTGCTTTTGCCACATCCTTTTTCAGCTGTATCATAATTGAATAAGAAATCCAGGGTTGAGTTTTTTTTTTTACCTTACTTTATCTGTGTCTGGAATGTTCCAGCGAAAACTCATAAAATCAATCTTTGTTCCACTGGAATGGATGTAATCTGCTAATCACTGTTTTTTAAAATCCTGATTGGCTTCCTTAATTGCAGGTATGAGTTGTAAACACTTAAAATTAGGTGGGTGTAAAAGTCTCAAGTGGTGTAATTGCTGCATGGAAAGTATGAGTGGATTTCTAACAGGACTAATACACACACACACACACATAATAGAATATTTATGTAACACTTATTCAAACTGCCAACTCAAAGAGAGTTTTAGGTTCAAGCAGCACTTTTATACTGTCTCCACAGAGTCATCATTACAGGCTGTATAGCGACATTTAAACCACTCCTGCTGAAAGAGGTGTTAGCGTGATTTTGTCCTATTTTATCTGTAGTCCGATCGCTTCATGGACTTCCTTTCACCCCAGGATATTGTGTCATGACTTCATATTCGTGACAGTGTTTTGTATCACAGCTCATACCTCTGTCTTTGGTGGGGTAAACACCAATGTGTCAATAAAGGGAGAACATCTGGTCGGCATTTGCTTTATTAGAAACACTCTCACTGATGACAAGACTGAGTAAATAGCTGCTTGTTAGAAGGAGTCACGACCTTGTTACATCTTTTTTTTGTCCTTCCTGTGTTTATCTACACGCTGTCGGCAAAAACATACTGCATCCAGAAGAGGTCTCTACGAATTCTTGACTAATTCTTCTTGATGGATTTGATGGAATTTAAAAATGTGATTAAAAAAACACCTTTCCTAAGTTTCCTTTCAGTCAAATGATGCTTTGAACACGGAAGAAACAAAAACATCTGGATTGTTCCTGCTAGCCAGTTGGGGAAACAGCTTCGATTTGAACTGGCCCCTGTGGTGATGTAACGACAGGAGGGATTTGCATTGATTGATTTACGCAATGGCTTTGGTACTGAAGAATAGAGATCTTCACAGTCAAAGCCACCAACAAACAATGTCTATACTGTCTCTCTTCACTAGAGGACCAAACAGTGGTTTCCTTCAATTTTCAAAGACTATGTGGTACGGTTGATGTTCATTTGTTTGTTCTTGTTAACTGCAAGAAAAAAAGGACAATACTCAAATTTTAATGTCACACTCATGGACATGCTGTTTTATTCATGGCTGCAACACTCCAGCAGTTGCCGCCTGCTGTTTAAGAGCAGATTCTGAATAATTAGCTGTGTTTTAGCCAAGTCGACTGGTCCAGTGTAGTACGATTTGGTGCAGTGTGCAATAAAACTGACCCATATCATTTTGCTTTTTTTGGAAACCCTTCTGTTGGAGTACCAAGCACAGAACAGGTCCTGAATTACGGTTATTGTGAGAGAAAAGGAAGGAGGAGAAATCATTCCGATCTCTGCATTATGCTTCCATTTTATGTTTGTATTTATTAATTTCAGGAAATGGTGTTGCACAGCTGTTGGCGGTTTATTAACAGGTGCTTAATTTGTGCTTAGACACCAGCTGAGCAGTAAGAGGAACACAGAGATGGATGAAGAGGAAAAAGGAGCTCCCAAAAGACTAAATATTTCCAATAATTGATGTCATTGAACAATTAATACAGCTTTTTTGCAGCCAATGTGACAAATGCCTTTACCCTATAGCTTCTAAAAGAGCTATGCTGGTTAATTCTTTGGCTTTGAAAAGTCTTCTGTAAGTACAACCATGGTATATTTTTCATGCTAATGGCATAAACACAGCTGAATACAGCTCTCTTATTATCATAGCAGCCCCACCTAGTCAGGTCAAGGCATGGATAATAAGGTTAGAAACTGAGGGGCTGCAGATCATCCACACAGGACTGCGACTGAAAACTTTGCTTGGAAGACCATTTGGAAACGATGTTAATAGCTAAATATACCTTTTATAATAATTAGATGCATTTTCCAGACAATGTTTTTCTTATTCTTCTTATTCAAACCTTAACTAGAGATGACTCATGTATGTGATCTATTAATAGTGCCATGAGGGATGACTTTTTGAAATAACACAGAGACACTTTACGCAATAAAAAGAAATCAAACTCCTGTCGTTCCGAGGGGAGAGGCGACAGACATGAGATGAGAGTAAAAAGGTTAGGAAGAGGGAAGGCTGGAAATAAATGTAAATAGAGAAGTTCTGTGTTAGTAAAACACCGCTGTCCATCTGCACCTTCACAACACCTTTCCCTCCCATCCGCCCGTCCCCGGCGGACGTCAGAGACATGCAGTCTCTCCATCTTCCAATTTATTTCCCTGCCGTGGGTGGAACAACAGATCAATCAGTGTTGGATAATCAATGTTGGGCCGAGAGCAGCTGTGTGGAGAAGGGAAAAAAATGTCTGACGTTTTGGTTTGTTATTGTAGGGAACAGCCAGGCATGATGTTTGTATGTAAAGGCCTCTGGAGTATGAGGATTTAATTAACCAATGACAGCTGGGATTTCTACAGCATACCTCAGAGACTGTGGGCCTCATCATTCTATCTCAAGCCAAATCAGCATGGACACTGCTGCCAAATCTCATTCAGATCTTGCTTTTAGCTGTCCCTCACACTCTCACCGAGAACACTACAGGAGTGTCATGTCTCTGGGATGATGAAACCATTTATTTTTAGAAAGGCACGATTATTTTTTATTTTCTGTTAACTGTAGGTCCACTTTTCAAAGGCTTATGAAACAGACTGTTTTTTGAAATTCGTTATTTTGTAACGTTTCTGTTATTATATTGTCAGTTTTAGTTCTGCTTCACAAGACACTTCACTGAGGTGCAGTCAATATGTAAATCTATAGGAACAAATTTGCAAAATTGATGAAAACATCATATTGGAAATCGTCATGTTGAGGAATTAAGATGTGTGACAGCATGGCCCATATTTCCTGATGATGACAGTGACAGATGGTAGCAATGAAAGCACACTGCTACCATCTGCTGGTGGTTCATTTTTAAAGACAGCAGGCTCATGAATGTTGCATCTGCAACAATGCACTTCATCCCTTCACATATGTTCGAGTCAAATGAGTTAAATTTGAGCACAAATCTTTTAAGCACCTTGGCAAAGTCAATAAAAGAAGTCTGCAGAAGTGCCTGGAATAGACACAATCCCCTAAAACTTGTCAGAGACACCTTTAGACATCAGATGTTTCCTTGTGTTCTTTTCTGGCTTTAGCAGGATTATGTAGCACTTAGGTGCAAAGATGCAGCCCAGCAGTCCGTAACTGGAGGCCAATATTGCAAACACCTCTGTGACGGTGGAGTACTTCCCTGGAGAGCTGATGTAGGCAGGAACAAAGGCGACCCACACCGCACAGAAAATGAGCATGCTGAAGGTGATGAGTCTGGCCTCGTTAAAGTTGTCCGGGAGCTTCCTTGCCAAGAATGCCAAGAGAAGGCAGATGCATGCCAATAGGCCAATGTAGCCCAGAACCAGAGCAAATGCCACAGGTGATCCTTCATCGCACAAGAGGATGACGGTGGCGCTCTCACGTGGCATGAGCTTGTGTGGCTTAGGAGGAGCGACAACCAGCCACACCGTGCAGATAATTACCTGCAATGAAGATGTCGATTTTTATAGGCAGGAGTTATTACAAACCATTGAGGGAACTCAGAAAGTCCAAAGTCCTTACCTGGACCAGTGTACAAAAGGTGATTATTGCCTTCTGTTGGGCAGGCCCAAACCACTTCATTACATTACTGCCTGGAAGTGTCGCTCTGAAGGCCATAAGCACTACAATAGTTTTCCCAAGAATACAGGAGATACAGAGGACAAAAGTGATGCCAAATGCTGTGTGTCTCAGCATGCAGGACCACTCAGAGGGCCGGCCGATAAAGGTCAGAGAACACAGAAAACACAGAGTCAAAGAGAAGAGCAACAGAAAGCTCAGCACAGAGTTGTTGGCTCTAACTATCGGGGTGTTTTTGTAACAGGAAAATATGAAGACCACAACACAAGTGCAGAAGGAACCAATGAGAGAAATAGCCATGAGAGTGATGCCCATAGTGTCGCTGAAGGAGAGGAACTCCACTTGTTTGGGGATACAGACTGTCCTCTCATCATTGGACCAAAACTCTGGGAGGCAGCGCACACACTCTATGGCATCTAAAGAAAAGACAATTGTGTTGGTTTTTTTTTCTCATTACAAATGTAGGTCAGGTTCTCTAAAATAATATCAGCAGTTGGCCTTTCCTTACCAGTCTGATTACTAATCTCCCCAGCTGTACAAACCACACAGTCATGGCAGCAGATAGGGAAGTGAGGTCTAATAGCCTTTCGGGTACCTGGGGGACAGATGCTGCTGCATACTGACAAGGGAACCTGAGCAAAAGAGAAAAAGCATACTACTCTAGTCACAAAAGAGCTCCTCGACAAAAAAGCCATGCACAGATTTCAATTTTCAGTTTTGTTATTCTCTTGGGGCGCCTACTTCGGTTTGGTTGCCATTCCACATGATTATTTCTTCTTGGATCTGGAGTTTTTTCACCCCAATGATGGTTGTCTCATCAAATTTGCCAATGGTGACAAACTCCATTTTTCCATCTGGTCGTAACTGCCAGTTTACCAGGTCATACATGGCGGCAGGATCACCATTCTCATCAAACTTTGTTTCATCACCAAATGAATTCAAGTACTCGACCTGTTTTATGTAATGAAGCAGCTAAAGAAGAAAAGGGCAAACGTTTATCCCAAACAAAACTTCTAAACATTTTCATATACTTATTATCTTAAGTATCCTAAATGAGGACAGAAAGCAAATGGTTCATTACCTGCCATGGCTGAATATTGTCTATGTCTGCACAGGCTTGCAAAGGAAATGGCCCTTTTCCTTCCACACAGCTCCTCATAGCATTGAGTGCATGAGCAATCGCATACACAGCTTTATAGACATTATAGGAAATCCTCAGCTGGGACACATCTGAGTAGATATTTGTAACGCTTCTCAGTTCTTCCTCTCCGGTGCATGGAGGTTTACTTTGACGCCCTGTACCCAAACTGCACTGGAATACCTCCTCCCAGAAAGGTACCAAGAAGGGATCGCCAACAGCATCTGGGTTTGAAGGGTGCAAACGAAGCAGGAAGTCCTGCAATCCCGGGATGTCTGCTCTTCGAATGGCAAATCCCATTGAACCCTGGAGGATGTGACGGTACTTTGAAGGGGTGGAGAGGACAGCAGCTGTGCTCCAAGCCTCGCTGGCCAGCCACTGAATATCAGTGAGCCCCTCTCTAGATTCAAAGGAATGACAATTCATGACTTTTAAAACGTGGTAAAGCTGCATCAATAAAACATAAACTGAACAAACGCTTTCTTCAAAGATTGTGGCATGCCTGAGTGCCTCATCGAAGAGTGCAGCTGCATCTTGTTCTACGGCAAATACGAGAATCACACGAGTCCCAGAAGAACGAATCTTGGAAATGATCGATGCGATGGCAGCCTGTGCTCGGTTTTTCGGGATAATCTCATAGAGGGCAACACAAGCACCCAGCTTTCTAACCTGAGAGAGCAGCAGAGGAGGTGGATGACAACTTTTTTCTTCTTATCTTCAACTTTTGTTCAAATCCTGCATTCAAGCAACTGTGACCCACCTCATCTGCGAAAATGTTTGCACCACCACGACCATAGGCATCATCTCCTGCAATCACACCCACCCAGGTCCAGCCAAAGTGCTGGACAAGTTGCACGAGTGCATCAACCTGATTGCAACACAAACATAGAGAGGGACAGATTGCTTCGTTGTTATGCGTTTGTTGCATTTCACGCAATCACACAGATGGTCTTCTTTCTCCTACCTGGAAAAAGTCACTCGGCATAGTCCTCATAAATGCAGGAAACTGTTTTTTGTCACTGAGACAGGCACAGCTAGAGAAATAACTGACCTGGACAGAAGGGAAGAAATTCGTTGATACAGTGAGCTGTTTCATACGCAGTACGACCATCTGCTGTTACAAACAAGACTGATTTTGAAGACAGTAAAGACTTCCTCATGACTTTTTCATTACATCTCTGCACAGAAGTGAAAGAAAATACACCAACTTTACCTGCGGTACCTGGAAGACCCCCAGAAAACGAGCCACAACGAGAGACTGAGTCGAGCCTCCATCTCCTATCACTGCTGGTACAGTCCCATTACATGTCAAATTATCATCAGTATCTCCCACAACCCCTGAACCCTTTTCACTCCCCATTAACTCCATGGCAGCCTTCAGAGCCTGATGAGGTGTACTACAAGAATCATAGATCTTGTAACCAAGAGTGATGTTAGGAAGTAGTTTAGCCTCTTTGTTTATCTCCTCGATGGCAAAGATCATGGTCTGCATCCATCGAAATGTTCTGAAGTTGAATCTGTAAGAAGAAAGCAGATTGATGAAGACAGAAAAACACGGATGCCATGAGATTAAGCCTGTTTATATCCAAAACTTCAGCAATTTGAGGATGATCTAGAAAGCAGCTTACCTGGTACATTGTGTTGGAGGAGGCTGAGAGGTGAAGGACAGACTCGGCTCTACCACCATATCATGCAGAGAGAAGAGTCCCCCTAAGATGATATCCCCCTTTTTTTCAAGCACAGGTAAGGTCATTGAACCTGGGATTATTTCACATCGCTGGCTGGGGTCTTGGTGGGAGCTGCTTGGAAAAATACAAAACCATAGAAGACCCAATACAAGCTGGGTCGCTCTCCTTTGAGGGTGAGGCTCTTCTGATCTCCTCATGAAGTGCTTTGCCATTTTTATCCGTTAATTCTCTATAAACCCTTAGATAGTGTGTAAGTGTATTTCCATTCTAGAAAGAGGTGCTCGAATAAAGTACAAAAACCATGAATAATGACCCAAACAAGCACTTTACGTACTAAGGCAGCATGAAAACACAAATCCAGGCACATAAAACGGTACATTATCACCCTATTTAAATGCAAACAAACAATGCTATGTCAAAAAAAAATCATCATCAAACCTGATCAATCTAGAAAAAGCATCCCCTCATCGATCTATACAACTATTTTAAAGGCAGAGCTCCTTTCTTTTTCATCACCACGGCACATACTACAAGCTAGCCAGTCTCAATTATCAGGTAAGGAATGCTTTCATGTTACCTATATATATACTGAGTGCCTCATTTCCCCCTGGGCTTCTAATCAATGGAAAAGGAGCCCACAGTTTCACAGTAAGTAACAACAATAACAAGCCACCGGAGTGAACACTTGACCATAATGCAGAGAGACATGAGCTGTGTCATGTGGCAATATCATGCCTGACTTGGCTTAATTCATCCTTCAGTGATGTGAAGAGGCAGGCAGAAGGCCCATGTCACAAGGGGGCGGCTTATCTGAGTTACAGACCTTTCAAACACATTCACACACAGAGACACATACAGGCAAACAAACCTTACACATATAGTGCTGCTTGGAGAGAGTGAAACAGAACCAGAATATTGATATTTAAAGCAAACGTCTCTCCTGTTTTAAGATAATGGTAATGGACAGAAATTAATATGCTTCTGCTCCTCATAATGTCATCTGTAGATATATTATCCATTTTCAATCCTACGCCAGTCAGTTTGACATAATAACTGCCCCAGAGTGTCTACCAGAAATAGACTCTTGGAGATCAGATCACTTTTTACAACTTAACGACACGAAATCTGAAGTTAATGTGACCGCACTGCAGCGAAATGAAATTTAATCATCTCAAATCTTTATGAAATATCAAAAACTGTTGAGCCCTCAGCTACAAAGGATGCCATTTTTGATCAGGACTCGTGTTTGAAGTAGCGGCTCAGGAAAGCTTTTTAGTTCTGTTTTCTCAGCTCTGAAATAAAGCCAAGGTCGAGCGCCTAATACCAGCTGAGGATCTAGAGAAACCCTCTGCTTTCACAGCTGCAATTCAAAATGGTCTCACCCATTTGCATGTTTTTGAGCTTTTTCCCCCTATGAGCCACGACACAGTCTGAAATTCTCCAGTTTGCCACCAGCATTGAAAACCAGAGGTGACAGCTTTTAACTAGCGAAGCCTCAAGACTCTGAAACAACCTGCCTGAGAGGATCAGACTTTTTAAATGTTAGACCCTTTTTTATTTCACCACCCCAGACATAATTTTACAGACAGTTGATTTTATTTACTACTTTGTATTTGTCTGTTTGATTTGCTTCACTGTTCAGTTGCTGTTATTGTGTTTCTTTTTCGCCTGCCTGCTCTTACTGTTTGTTGTAAAGCGCTTTAGTGTTAAACAAATAAATCATCCCAGTTGTCATTACAAACAAAATCATTAGCATAGAAATTGCCTTTTCTTAATTTAGTTTTGTGTCTGGGGCTGCTACTAGGGAGTCAGTGTCAAATGAAGTTAATTACAACCTTTTTTTTTCAACATAGTCAGAGGAAAAATGAAAGTTTTATGAAAGTTCACATATAGCAGGAGAGATTTGTTGTTAAAACAGTGCAAACTTAATACCAAAAAAGAAGCAAAACCTTCGACTCTGACTACAGGAGGCAGCAAATTTGCAAAAAAATAGGAGTCCTCATTAAGCACTGAATATATCTTTCCTTTCCTTTTTCTTATTCCTGCATTAAATATCTCTCCCTGGAGTTTATTAGATTTAACACACTGAAAATATTAAGGTAATATAGTGTTTGACATCATTAGCAAGACTAACCCACAGGCTACAAAACACAGCACCACAGAGTGTGTAGCAAAGACAATTGTGCTTCATGTTGTCATGCCTGAGGTCATGTAGGTTTCCTTATCCCCCTAATATGTCCCTTTGTGACACACAGAAGAGGAAGGACAGAGGGGCCTCGAGACAGAAAAAGTTACTGTTATGAAACTATGATTTCCTTTTCTTGTAAGCCATTCACAAAATCATAGACTCAAGGATCCTATAGTCCCAGGAGAAGAGTGTACCTCATTGTTTCTGGAAACAAGATGATTATAAGTGAACATTAAGCAGATTGCAGTTGTATCAGAAAAGTCCTCAGGGAGATATGATGCAAGGTAATTAATTCCCTTTAGGATTAGATGTACCAAAGTATTCTGTTATGCCCTCAACTGTACAGATGAACAAACTGGAAAAGGACAGAAAGACAGAGGAAAAGAAAAGACATTCAGGCAGACAGCCTGTCATATCGATAGAGCAGCGAGCGTTACTAATAGAGACATGCAGACAGATGGGAAGGCAATAGGAGATGAAGACAATATGAAAAATAAGCAGGAAGACAAGAAAGAATTCAAGGATATAGAGCGTGGCCATGGTATACAAGAAAAAAAGGATGTTTCACTTCTGCAGTTTAAAGATGTATTAGGACGAAAAAGTCACAATTTTTCTCAAGTAAAAGTTTTACTTGAGAAAAATTGTGACTCACAATTTTACCGCAAAACTGTGATGAATGAAAGTGTAAGCCACCAATTTCATAGACATCCATGCAAATTATCTGATGTAAACTATAAGCTGTAAAAGAAAACCATTTAAAGACCCACTTTGATCATTGTTTACCACTTAATGTGTTTATGAAGTGATTATGAAGTTTTTCGCCAAAATCGCGCTGCCTAGGTCATTTTCAAGGACTTTTCTTCTGCAGAGCTCCAGTAGCTCATTACCAATTTGCCTCTAAGTCGTGGGCAGAGACAGCATTGCTCTGCACACTCCTCTTCATGCTAGCTTGCAGCCAAACATTGCTGGAGTAGTAGAAGTGGCAGGTAACATAGGAGCTATTCAGCTCTCGGGCACTAATGTCTTTAGGGGTATGATGAAAGTTAATATCATAATTAGTTTTCTTACAAGCATTGCAATCCGCTGATGCATGCTTGATCCTCGATTATCCTCACCACTTCTCCGAGTCTGGCTTGCATAGTGGGGGGCGGAGCTTGGATTTGCTACATAGGAAATCTTACTGAATCTGAGCCTGCCATTTGGGTCTGCCAGAGATTCACAGCGATTTTAATGCAGAAATACTCAGAAATGCAATTCCGCACTTAGCTTTCTCGTAATATGTCCTGTAGCATCAGAAAAAGGCCATATAAACATGTAGACAACAAGAAAGACATGATTTTAATCAGACTGAGTCTTCAAATTTGTGGTGCAAAGTTATGACTGTGTTTCAAATTTGAAAACTTGGAGCATTTCCATGTTCGAGTCTGGGCCGAGGCTGAACATAAGGACTCTGACTGAATGATTTGGCCATGAGGACAACTTGAACTTGTAATTGTGGCAAACAAACCAGTTGTGCAAACCAATAAAAAAAATAGGAAATCAAGCTAAAGGAGTCCTGTAGGACAGCAGACTAACACTCAGACCCCATAAAACAGCCTCCTAAAACTTCTGCATGATACCCAAAAGCAAACAAAACCCTCAGAGACAATCCTGATGGTTTTTATTTTCTAGTTTTTCATGCCTCAAAGCGATGTGAGGGGCTATGCGTCAGCTCAGCAGTTTGAAAAACAGCTGTTATGCAATTTCTACAAATTTGCACATTATACATTTGACAGACAAGAGTTTGCAGGATTAGATTATTTTGTTAAAAGTAACAACTCAGGCATGTTAAGAACCAGATAAGCAATTTATTTTTCCTCATTGGGGTTTTTGAATCTAAATCCCTTTAGAAGAGCTAAGGTGGAGTCCTAGAAAAGCTCATACTCTCTGTTCATTATGAGTTTGAGTTGTAGTATTTCCACTATTCCTTTATTTCCCAGGGAAACTGTTTGTCTTCTCCTTCAGTTTCAGTTAATCATACCTTCCTTTGAGCTGGTGCCCCATGCTGCAAAGACTGTGTCCTTTTTATTCATTTTGCCCCTGAGACAGCCTGAGTATGCCACTATCTTGACGATTAAGAATTAGAGAGAAGGTGCACGGCTATCTTCAGGTGAGGAAATACAGTACCTAAGATTTAGGAGGATTATAAGAAAGTTTAATGTTTGCCATTCTGCTTATTATTATCCAATTGTTTCATGTTATTCTGTACTGTTTTGGATGTTTGACCTTGGAAGTAATGTATCCTATTTTCGTTGTAGCAACGCAGAGTGAAGCTTCGGCAGGCATGGTTCAGTACACAGGATGAGCCGAGGTTTATTTTGAAGGAGTACCGGAAGTTGTTGTTGTTGTTACCGGGTCGGAGTTGACGAGTGAAAAGTAAGGCGTAAGAAATCAAAAAGTGTGGACGCTGCCGCCGACACGAAAGACTGCCGTTTTTATTGTTCTTTATTTTAATAATTACCCAGCATACGCACCCTCGCACTCAGTTACAGTAATTTATATTTTCTTTCAAGAAGAGAAACTAAGCAAATGTCTAGATGTTTGAAATACGCTGATAGGTTGTTTCGGGTATTGACCAGCAGGGGGATCAAGTGGCAGAGGCAGGTGAGTGAGAGTAAACGTAAACGCAACAGCAGGGGGTAAGCACAGAAACCAGTTAAGAAACGGACTTTTAAATGTCATTTAGACCGTTAAAAGTTGTCAACTAGAGAAAATAGACGTCTTCACACAGAAGAGTATGTCTGAACGTCGGCCCGACGCTCTTTTATAGTACGGTCTCGCATGTGTGCAGTGTTTTCCCGGTTTGTTAGCCTGACAAACGGACATTAGCCTTTAGCCTACCAGCTCGGCGGGACCTCGTGAGGGTGGAGTTTTGAGTCCTCGGCCAGGTTGCTGCCTGGACGACAGGAGAGAGACGAGGACGGTGTGTGTTGTGAACCTGCAGCGCTGGACGTTTCTCTGGTGAGGATGAAAGATGTTTGCTGCTGCCAAGAGGACCTTTCTGCCGCGAAGGGCCTGGACGCATTTTCTGCAGGACGGTAGGGGAAGGTCCCGCCCTCCTTCGCCTCTGATTGGCTAGAGGTGCTGGGACGTTCTTCCTTGGGCTGCGTCACCCCGCAGCAGTCCATAATGGACCGGCCCAAGGTCTCGCCACAAACAAGCGGCTGCTGGAAGAGAGTAGGTGAGTTGTGTTTAGTCACTTTGCTAAAGAAATTCGGCAAAGCTAAAAAGATGTTGGGTGGCTAGGACCCTATTTGTACTGTTGATGAAGTTAGGTGCTGTTCTGAGCATTATAAGGATATTTACAGTTATATTTTAAGAAGATATAACTAAGTTTAAAACAGATTATAAGGCCAGTTGTACACTTATAAAGTTAAAAAGTTTATTTCAGATACATGTTTAAGAACCCAGGGCCCTGCCCTGACTAGTGTAGGGAGCAGGAGCTACACAAAGGGAAAAAAAAAACTCCTCTTAGCCACATCCTGAGATAGACCCATCATTGTCAAAACCAGTCAGTTTTTTCCTGTTGTCTGTTTACATTTAACACCTCGTCAAAGTAAAGGTATTATAACCATATCCTTGGTTCAAGAGAGTGCCTGAGGATAGCCTTGCAGATCCCACCCTACTGAAGAAAAACTTTCAGCTGCCCTTGAAAAGACCATCAGACAGCTTTGGGATATGCAAATCTATGTGGTGTGGTTTTAATCTCAACCGCTGAGAACTTTTCCAAGTAAAATAGCTGTATCCATGAAATGTTCCTGGCAGGTTGTCAGCTAGTCCCCTGGTTTCCCTTGTGCACACAAGCTTGGATTACCTTCAAATTAGATGTCAAAACCACCTCAACTGAGCAATGAGCATTTCTTAAAGTTCCTTTCAGATGTCTGGCTTTCGCACTTCTTTCTATTACCACCAAGACGTACATCCTGCAAAGAAGACAAATCTTGGCAGCTTGTAATCATGATCCTATTCATTTTGGGCTTACCACTGATATAATAAAGATTGACTTGTAAATCAAGAGTCTTGACTCTGTGAAAATCAGAGATGTAATCCTGAGACTGTTATACTGGGAGCCATCCAAACCTTGGCAGATGAATCAGTCAAAAGGCACAAACCTGGCAGTGCTGAGTTTTCGCTGAGATTGTGCTTGAGTTTCTGCCAAGCATGAAATCACTGCTCTCATTTCAGTGATAAAAGGACAAATGACCTATGGTAAAAACAAAAATACACTGGTATATCCAGCTCAAGAGGACATTAAATGCATCCTGAATCAGCATTGTAAATATGCGGGAAGAAGGCCAAACTTTGATGAATCAGGGTATCATTTTTTGGGTGGTGAAAAGTTCCTCCGATGTTGGAGCAGGAATCTGAAAATTGATAGAACAAATGGTAAATAGACCGCACTGTAACACAACCGCACCCAAAATAGATGCAGCTTCATCCAACACCCTCGCAAAAACTTGTCCTGAAGAGGCCAAGAAGTTTCATATCATAATATGGCCACTGGCCAGTCCAACCAAGACAGAGTCCTCTTTCTCTCTATAAGAGGACTTGAGAAGGGCAGGTGGTCTCTGGGCAGTCATGACTCAGAGCAACCTAAAAGCAGTCCATTACCAATCACTATGTAGCAGCAGATCCTTGTTTCACACCCAACAGTGGTGGAGCTGTTCACCCTCCCCATCAAGTCGAGATGTTTTCTGTTGACTCGAGAGGACTAGAACAATGTCCCACTAAGTGTTGCCAGAAATATTAGTGATGTGGAGACACTCGGGAGTGTGAGCAGTGCCCACATCCTTGGCTTGAAGACAACAACATTCTTATGGGACATAAGACGCTGCCAGGTTTCTGCCTTGTGACAAATTCATCTGCCAAGTATTTGATGAGTCACAGCTCTTTGTTTATCAGTCAGTCTATTTTCAATCACTTGTCAAAAGCATTGAGTAATTGCCGTATTAATGAGATCATGGAAATTAGCTGCAAAAACTGGCTTTCTTTGCGGGTTATATGGACTTTGACAAGAATTGTGAATCTTGCCTGGTTTGTGAAGCTTAAGCTGAAAAAATACAGGATCCGTATTGAGCGTGTTCTGTCAGCATTGCGGTATCTTTTCTGTCGAGCAGCACTGTCTGTCGCACACAGAATGCATATTTAGGGCATAGCAGCAGTGTAGTGCAGCCCCTGTCAGCTGGGCTCAGCATAGAGGAAACAAATGCTATTTTTATTTTTGAAATACCGGATGACGTGCAGTTTTCGTGCTTGACATCCTGTCTAGAATGATCTTCTCTGTGTAGCTTGCCATGTATTTTGAGCAGAGCCGCGCTCAATACACTTCTGATACGGAGCTGTGACGGAGCTGATACGCATCCTGTCAGAGTGACCGTATGTCCTCTTTTTTGGGGGCTGTCCGGCTTTATTTGAAGTTTATAATCCTTCAAATGTGTCATGTGGACTTACTGTGTTGGAAGCGCGTAAAAGACATTCGATCGACCCAAAAAACTCTCAAAATTAACCTTGTGCGACTCCATGATTCCGCCCCCACGTAGTCGCGTCCCCTTTTCGGGAGGTCTACCCTACCTGTATGCAGTGATGCATTGATTAGAATGGCAACCTTTTTGCTGCGTGATATGCGACTCTTATGGAACGCACTCAATACGGATCCTGTATTTTTTAGCCAAACAGCACTGTTGAATTAAAGGTAGATATGGTGATATGGTAATGCATGTATATATGTAGTTAACAAGTATCCTTCCGGCTTCTGGAAATTATAAATTTTTAGACTCCTTAAACTCGTAAATCATTAGTTGGAGGTGGTCAGTCTTTTTTAAATATACGATATATCTTAATCTTGGCCCGCTGCGGAGGGTTTTTCTTTTAATTAAAGTTGTAACAACAAAAGGACTGAATCAATGTTTGTAATGTGTAGCGTGCCGAGGGAAGGAGGAGAGGGACCTGTTAGTTTAATTGTACTGAGGAATATCCAATGAGCACAGTGTTGTTTTAACTTTAATTTCAAATCAGTCATGGAAAACAACATGCGCTGAAGCGTGGACCCCCCCCCACACACTTGGGACAACTTTGTTATTGTATTTTTGTAAGAGGAAGGCAGAGTCATGGCATCATCCTAAACCTGCCAATTTAGTTTTTGCCTCAAGGGGCCAAATGGGAAACAAGGGGACAGCTAGGCAAGCAAAGACAAGTTAGAGTTTCCGACGAGACTGATGACATCTGAGCCTGAGGCTACAAAACAGGAGTTCACCAGGTGTCTTGTTGGAAACTCATTAAGTCAGAGTTTTAATGAAAGGCAGCCTCCACACATTAACTAGAAAGCACATATACAATCACTGTTGAGTACACTAATTAATTTGATATTGGTCTGACACTCTTAAGGTCAAAGGTGACTTATCTTGATTATACTATTAACAGGAAGGCATAATAAATACTGTTTATTTAAATATATATCTGGCTGTATTACAGCTGAACTCCAGAGTTAACCAAGTTCTGCCAACATCTTTATGTCACACATTAATAGAGCCTTTGAGAAGAAGTCATCAGCCTTCTTGAAGTACCACCAAACCATCACAAATCATCTCCTAAATGTCATATTTGGTTTGAGACACTCAGGTTTATAGGCCTCTCTAGGTGTGTTCATAACCAGCAGCCAGCCAGGTGGTGAGCAGAGTGAAAAGACTCATCACAAAAGATGACCTTTGCCTAGTCCTTATGGTTCTGCTGGTCGTCAGCAAACAAAGCTGTGTGTGCCTTCTGAGATTTAAAGTCCATCTGGCAGTTTGAGAGGTACTCCACATCATGCAATGTTTGTCTTTATTTCTGAAGGTCAAGGTATGCCACACTTTATTCTTTGGCATTTATTAAATTAAGCGTAAAGCTAAGCACGGTGCAAAACATCTCCTATGTACAAGGAGCATATTGATATGGTAAACATCCAGTTTAATAAGAATTAGTAACGTTTCCAACATTTTTAACGATGATCCATATAATTAACAAATAACAGTAGTATGTTTTTAAGTGTTTGGTACAGCTTAAAAGGTGATTATTATACTTTAAATCAATAAAATGAAGACTAACTCAGACATTTTAACTGATTTAACTTTAAAGTCTGGAGATGAGATGAGATATGCTTTGTTGTCCCAGTAGGATCGATAGCCGCCGGTTGACCTGGGATTGATTTATCAGCCAACTATCATCAGTCTTTTCTGAGAACTGTTAAGTGCTGCTCTTTAGAAGCATTTTATTCTCCCATGATGCGCCGTGATCAGTCAAGTGGCTTGCCAGAAATAAGCAAGAGTGGAGATTTTTAGGGGTTTTAATTAAATACTGTAATTACGTTTTTTTCGTGCTCCCAATTCCAATACACGCATCAGGAATTTTAACCAGCCCGTTTGATTATGTTTCTGCCTTGCTGAGTCTCTCTGGCAGAGGAAACTTTCATTAATCAAATCCCGACAAGTTTCCTGGAAGTGTTTTCATTATCAGCGGGAGAGACTGTTGCCTCTTCTTCTCAACTTTCCATCCTCAACTAATTGAAAAATATAATTGTACTCTTTCTACCAAGCATATGCAGCAATAACATCATCATCATAATGATCTTAATCTCACTCTCTTTTTGGTAGGTTGGTAACAATTGCAAAAAGTTGCCAGAGGAGGGCATTATTGTCCATGACATGGGTGTGACAGGTAGGTTACATGACAAAAGCTGAATACTGTTGTCAGTAAACTTGACAGGATCATAATTTAACTCTTCAAAATGAGTTTCAAAACATTTAATTTTGTCATAATTTTTCAAGAGTTTGGGCCGATTTTGCAGCCATATGAGCCCAACTTATCAACAATCTTTCCACATACTCACCAGCAACCACAGAGTTTTCTCAGTTAAAACTACTATTGAAGAGAACTAAAATAGCTTGTACTGTGAGACTTTTATCAGCTAAAGTAAGAGCTCAATTTTTGGCAAATCAGGTCGAGCACTGTTTTAGTTCTAAAAATGAAAAAAGCAATGAGACATGGAGAAGACGCACGATCAGAGACCACATACTTCCCCTTAAGTCCATTAATTATTTCATTATAATAGATTAGAAACCATCAAAGAAAAGCATGTTTATATTTTTCAACACAATGAATCATGCTAGTACAGAAATCCAGCCTAAACCACCTTTTACATATTAAGTGGAATAATTCTCAGTTTAATTCTCTCTCTTTAGTCTCTCTGTAATTGTCTTTTTACTTTTTGGACTTTCAAGGCAACTTCACGGTCAACCAGAAGTGTCAGCTCTTGCGCTCCGGGGCAGTCTTGTTAGAGGCCCAAAGTGTTCCAGCAGAGATCACAAGTGACTCATGATGCAACAGCCCTGAAGGGAAGTTTCCAGTTTTCACCAAGAGGGGAGGTGTGGGGGCAGACGGGAGACAATGTGAACTCCAGAGGGAGTTTGTTAGCTGCTCGTTTGTTATGTTTGTGAGTGGGAAGAGCCTGAGGTTAAAGTCATGATCAGACCTGAAGCACTTGTACTTCCCCCAAATGTGTTCCTCCCAAATCAGTCCCCTGAGAGTATCTGGGAGAGGTTTTAAGTGTTTCATACCCTCACAGATATTCATATAAACACACAAACAGCCATTTCTTTGTAATTAAAGGGGACCTCTGCGGTGGATCAGCTGGTTAAAGAGCTCTTTGGCTGAAAAATAACAATAACACCAAATTAAAAATGACATGCCCCTGTGTAATTTGATAAACACCTGAACACACCTGCTAAGACAGCTGTCAAAACTGTAACTTTAATGCCAAGTCAAAGTTCAGGAAATGTCCTTAACGTGAAGATGATGACACCCATTATTGTCAAAAATGGAAGATAGTTGGGTGAACATAATAAAACCTTTTCGCATTCAGAGGGTCTTTTATTTGAATGAGTAAATGTTCAACATACTTAAGTAGCTTTTCTCAAATAGGCCCAATCACACAGCGAAAGCAAGGAGTAGGAAAGACTGGAATGTGATAAATCTGAACACAGTAACGCATTAATGGTCTTGTTAAAAAGCACAAAAGCTGGCAGAAAACATTGTTGAAATTGGTAAGTACATTAAGAAAAAAATCTGGTCCAATGAAAATCATAACTCAACATTTGTGGCTCATGGTGTTCAGACTAATATGCTCCACATTGAGAATTGTAGTCACTCGCACAGCTGCTCATTTGGTCTCATATTTGTACTAGATTAGCATTTAAAGTGATTTTCACAGAAGAGGTAAAAGGTCCTCAAAAAGAATAAATGTTCCCTGTGTTTTATGACCAAACAAGGCTTTACAGTGGCTGTTGGGCTCAGATTAGTCAATGCCAGTTTAACGGGAACAACCATCTTCAGTAATGTGAGCACAAAATGATGACAGGTGTCCATTTAGTTTCAAAACTTCACAGTCTAGAAACTGTCACAGTTAAGTGTACTGTAGTAACTGTCATCACCTCTGTCAATCAAACGTGTTTTCTAAGTAGAATAACTAAATCATTAGGCTTACACATGTACATCACATGAACATATGAGGATGGCTTAAAGGCCCTTACTAGGTGGTATATTTGTATGTCTAAAGCTTTTGGCTTCACTTTAGAAGGAAACTGTAATGCAGTCCATGAATTTATACAGTGTGTGTCAAAGGTCAAGCTGAAGTAAAAGAGGATTACCTGAACCAAAAACACAAATAAAACATAGTTGTCCACGGGAACACACTGTCAGTCCAAACATTTACCTAGAGGCTACACAGAACAATTCCATTTGCTAGATGTTGTTCATTATCCAACATTGGGGTCTGTTATTCAGTACTGAGGCCTGTGTGACAGTTTATAGTGATATAAGTAAAAAAAACACATTAACAATGCTTTGAAATACAGAAATACAATCAACAAAATCTTCTTGGATGATACAAAAAAACATACAGTGGCAGAGAGGGTGGACTGATCTACAACAACCTAAACAATCTTCATTCATAGACACAAGTCCCAAACAAATGCTTACGTAGAAAAAGCTGCAAATAAAAACAGACTACAGATAATGCATGTAAAAGACAAATCCAGATGTGACAGCAGAGGTGCTCCAGGCCTGGATGAATGCTCATAAAGAAATAATGTGAATCATAAACAACAGATAACACATGCAAAAGAAAATCCAGTAAATCCAGATCAGACTTTAGAGGTGCTCCAGGCCTAATCAGTGGAACAGTTTGTCGCTGACATGATGTTTTTTTTCCTCATTTTAAATGGATGTGAACTTCCCTAAAAGCCTAGAGCACTTGCGTTGTCATATCTCATTTGGACACATTTTTCATTTGCTTGTGTTTTTCTGCAGTTGGGCATCTTTGTTTATGTATTTGCAGCACATAAGCTGCTCAAACTCCTGCTGTGCCATTTGATATTCATTTTTTTTTCCACTGGCAGGGGTCTGTTTTGGACTTTTGTCTTATGCTTATGAATTTTCAGCATTTCTGTACGTGCAGAATAGTTCTCCTTATGAATAATATGTGCGCTTTTGCAGATAAGCCATAAATTGGTTTTTAAATTTCTTGTCAGCCACTGTAAAAATAAACTCCCTGAGTTTCATAAATTGAACTTAAATGGGTTATTGTTATTGAAGCTATTATTTTCCATATTTTGAATGTGTGATAATCTCTCATATGTTAAAACTTTAATCTGAATGTGAAAAGTGCATGTACACCATTGAATTATGGTACAAGTCAAACTGTCCTATCCTACTCATCTCTGATTGGTCGGCAAGAGGTCAGTAAACATATAAGTCCAGTCCAATCCTGACCCAGATGGCTCTGCCCCTTTACCATTACTAAAGGGAAGATGCCTCATGTGATAGCAGGGCTGGTTTTAATGGGGGTCCGGCTCGTGTTTGGAGCTGTGGAGGAGGACGCTCCTTCCTGTCACATACTGGGGAATCCAGAGTTCCCTCTGCTGTCTAAAGAGGGAGAAGTCATGATTGGGGGAGCCTTTTCCATTCACAGCAAAATCACACAACCTTCGCTCTCCTTTACAGAGAAACCAGCCCGTCTAACATGCTCCAGGTAAATATCAGAACAGTGAAAAAGGCTTAATTGTACTTTCTCGGTGTGGATACAGGATTTAATCTGGCTTTTTGTCTCAGGTTAAACCTCAGGGAGTTTCGATTTGCTCAGACCATGATATTTGCGATCCAGGAAATAAACAAAAGTGGATTTCTTCTTCCAAATGTTTCCATCGGGTATCGTATTTATGACAACTGTGGCTCAACATTATCATCAATGCGCGCAGTGATGGGCCTGATGAACGGTGATGAGTTAACCGGGGGAGAGAGCTGCTCCGGACAATCAGCTGTTCATGCAATTATCGGGGAGTCTGAATCATCTTCAACAATAGTGCTATCACGCACTACTGGACCATTCAAAATACCAGTGGTAAGAGGGATATAAGTGCTTATTTCTATGTTTATGATGTGCAAACTCCCTTTACTCTGCCTCTCTGTTTGTGTGTCCTCAGATAAGCCACTCAGCTACATGTGAGTGTTTGAGCGACAGAAAGGAGTATCCCTCTTTCTTTCGAACCATTGCCAGTGACCTCTACCAGAGCCGAGCTCTCGCCCAGCTGGTCAAACACTTCGGCTGGATGTGGGTCGGTGCGGTCAACAGCGACAGCGACTACGGCAACAACGGCATGGCCATTTTTCTTGCTGCAGCCCAGGAGGAAGGAGTGTGTGTGGAGTATATCGAGAAATTTCACAGAGCAGAGCCGGAAAAACTGAAGAAAGTGGTGGAAGTGATTCGAAAGAGCACAGCGAGGGTCATTGTTGGTTTCCTCGCCCATGTTGAAATGAACAACCTTCTGCAGGAGTTGAGTTTGAACAATATAACCGGGCGACAGTTCATCGGCGTGGAGGCCTGGATCACTGCGGACAGTCTTGTGACTCCCACCAGCTTCAGTGTGCTGGGAGGTTCACTAGGATTTGCTGTGCAAAAAGCTAACATAAGTGGCATGGATGATTTCTTAATCAAAGGTTTCTGGGAGACAGAGTTTAAGTGCTTGAATATGAACAAAGACAGGATGACAGGAACATCTAATTGCGAAGAAAAGAAGGATTTAAGTGAGCTTAAAGATTATGTTGATGATGTGGCTGAGATGAGATACTCCACGAACATTTACAAAGCCATCTATGCTGTGGCACACTCACTGCACAGCCTCCTGAAGTGCTCTACAAAACAAGGGTGTGACAAATCTCTCAAAGTTACTCCACAGCAGGTTCAACAAATACACTACTTTAAACTATCCATCTCCATGTTTTGTAAATTACATTTCTTGATGTATTATTCTTCTATTCTTTTTCAAAGGTTGTGGAGTCATTGAAGCAGGTGAATTTCACCATCAAGAATGGGGATCAGGTGTGGTTCGACCGCACCGGAGCAGCTGTGGCTCGCTATGAGGTGGTAAACTGGCAAATGGGATCAGATGGATCAGTCCAGTTCAAACCGGTTGGCTACTACGACGCCTCGCTCCCTCCTGGACAAAAGTTTGTCCTGAAGACTGAAGCCATAATGTGGCCCGGAGGAAAGACAGAGGCAAGTATCATCACTGACCTTTGAGTTAAATAACCCTCGGGATTATTCGTTTAAAATAACTCGTGTTTGTTGTTTCTGTGCTTCAAAGCTACCCGTATCAGTGTGCAGTGAGAGCTGCCGTCCAGGAACCCACAAAGTCCTTCAGAAGGGGAAACCTGTTTGTTGCTATGACTGCGTACCGTGTGCAGAGGGAGAAATCAGCAACAGCACAGGTAGATGTACCACAGACAGGAGCTGTGCTTATTTCATCATATTGTTTACTTGTGAGAGTCTGTGCGTCATGTTAAAGTTTGCCATGGCGCAGACTCTTATTCATGTGTGTCAGGTTTAGCTCATTAAATCACATTAATAGTCAAAATATTTCTGTTACAGATTCTAATGACTGCAAAAAGTGTCCTGAGGAATATTGGCCCAATCAGAACAAAGATGCCTGTATACTGAAAAATGTCGAGTTCCTCCGCTTCACTGAGGTTATGGGTGTGATTCTTGCATTTTTCACTCTGTTCGGCGTATTCCTGACTTTATTAGTGGCCATTCTTTTCATAGTACACAAAGACACGCCCCTTGTGAAAGCAAACAACTCTGAGCTGAGCTTCTTACTGCTTTTCTCTTTGACTCTGTGCTTCCTGTGTTCGCTGACCTTCATCGGCCGGCCCTCTGAGTGGTCCTGCATGCTGAGACACACAGCATTCGGCATCACTTTTGTCCTCTGCATCTCCTGTGTTCTGGGGAAAACAATAGTTGTGTTAATGGCGTTCAGGGCGACACTTCCGGGCAGTAATGTGATGAAGTGGTTTGGACCTGCACAGCAGAGACTCAGTGTTCTTGCTTTTACCTTGATTCAGGTTTTAATTTGCATACTGTGGTTGACGATAAACCCCCCCTTTCCCTTCAAAAATATGAATCACTACAAGGATAAAATCATCCTGGAGTGTGCTCTGGGATCACCTATAGGATTCTGGGCTGTGTTAGGATATATCGGACTCTTAGCACTCTTGTGTTTCCTTCTTGCTTTTCTGGCTCGAAAGCTTCCTGATAATTTCAATGAGGCTAAATTCATCACCTTCAGCATGTTGATATTCTGCGCCGTCTGGATCACATTCATCCCAGCTTATGTCAGCTCTCCTGGGAAGTTCACTGTAGCTGTGGAGATATTTGCCATCCTGGCCTCCAGTTATGGACTGCTGTTCTGCATTTTTCTGCCCAAATGTTTCATCATTTTGTTCAGACCTGAGCAGAACACAAGGAAACATATAATGGGAAAGACATCTAATAATGATATACGCTATTAGATGACTCTAATTTGAGGCTACATCAAAGAAACACAAGCACTAACACAAAGAGCATCTTACTGGGAAATTACAGTCAGTTTATATCTACAAGGAAATAATAATAAAAAATATAGGTAATAAAAATATAGGTACTCATTAAAATTTTATGTTTTGTGTATTTTCACTTGGCTTGAATTAGGATAACTATTCACAGGTTCTTTGTTCATATGAAAATCAGTCCAAGACTTTTAAAGCACATACTGTCCCTGAAGCTGAAACAATACTGTTGAGAGGCATTTAAAGCTCCTGTAAGGAGGACAGTTGGTTGCAAAAAAAAAGACTGAAATTATACTGATGCCTTACATGACCTGCAAAGCAAACAAAAGCCACCAGGAGAGAGATTTACATGTTATTTTTAGTTTCTTTTAAATGCCCGTGAATGCCACTGGAGGAGTGGCTTACTGACGCTGTAAAAACTTTATATTCATGGCAAATGTTTTAGTTGAATAAGATGTTTGATGGTGAACGATGGGTAATGCAGTTGACACAGTACTTTGACCACAGGAGGCGCCAAAATCCATACAAACCTAAAGTTCCTTACAGGAGCTTTAAACCTGAACATTAAAGCTCCTGTCAGGATTTTTTGACTGGTGAGAAAATTAATCATGATGGATCTTTGTAAATTACCCATTAGGGAAAAAGTTCAATTTCTAAGGTTTGATTGTAAATGCCTGTGAGCACAACAAACAGGGTGTCTGTGTAAGACGATGCACCTTTATTGTACTTTTTGCACAGCAGATATATATGATGAGTAATATAAGACAAGATCAGGAAAGTTAGGAGAGATATAACCCAATCTGCAGGGGGCGTGAAAATCCTCTGTCCCCCAGAGGAGCTTTAATACATTTAATTTATTGATTTCTATTTGGTCCTTCAGCTACAAAAAGTCATGATAGCTCTTTTAATTAGCTGTATTTGTAACAAAGTAGAAGGTATGTGATTAAACTTATAATGATGATTGTAATCTTTAATTTTTTTGTGTAAATAAAAAGGTGTAAAGTTATCCCGATTTGTTTGTAGTTTCTGTTTGTCTAACTAGGGCCTTCACATAACAGGTGATACTTGATCCAGTGAGTTTTATCAAATAAGGTGAGAGTTTTGACCTCTCACCTCTCATGCTAATAAAGACAGAGATACATTTATGAGACTCCAAACACATTGCTAAGAAGTGCATTTAAATATATGGGGATGTAACACATGAAACATAATGCAGATGAAACACGTGCAAATTGATACCCAAAAATATACATATGAGGGCAAATGCTTTGTAAAAAACATCAGTGTTGTTGGTGAGAAAATGTATAAATCCAGGAAGAAAGTGCAACAGAAAAAATAACTCAATTTTTTAGATCTTTACAGGAAGCTCATTGGAAATGTTTGAGAGTGAAAGTGACAAACTAGAGATGCAGTCTGATCGATTTAAGTGGTCAGATTGAGTTAGAATGATGTGTTTTCTTAAGCTTCAACATTTTTCACAATTATCCTTAGTTGGCCCCCTGATGACATCCACGTATCAAATAAAGGACCGCTCATCAGGCTGACATCACCTCCCTGTGATTTGATAAAAGGACTTTGATCACAATCACGATCATCTTTATAAAGCTCTCTCTGTTTAGGAGATCCATGTTTGGGTCAGCAGTGAGGGAAGGGCTTTTAACTTGTGTGTTTGCGCTCTTTAACCAAATGTGTGGCCATGTGCATAAATTGCTTCTGCTTGTGCTTTTTGTGGGAGCCTTTGGAGCCGAGGAGGACCCGGCGCTCTGTAAAATGATGGGGAGCTCAGCATTTCCTCTGTTATCTAAAGAAGGAGATATCACAATCGGAGGAGCTTTCTCTATCCACAGCCAAGTTTCGACTCCTTCACTCTCCTTTATTAATACTCCAGAACCACTAACATGCTCCAGGTAAATACTGTTATATAATGTTTATATACATTATATAATGTCTCGGGTAAAACTTTTGGTTTCTTAGAAATCTGTTTTCACTTTCAGGATAAATTTCAGAGAGTTTCGTTTTGCTCAAACAATGATTTTTGCCATCGAGGAGATCAACAACAGCAGCTCTCTGCTGCCTAATATTTCAGTTGGTTATAAGCTTTTTGACACCTGTGGTTCAACGCTGCCTTCTACACGTGCAGCGATGGGTTTACTGAACAGGCAAGATGAGACGTCAAGGAGAAACTGCTCCAGCCAGTCATCGGTTCAGGCTGTTATCGGGGCCTCTGAGTCTTCTTCAACAATTGTGATGCTACAAATTTTAGGGATTTTCCAAGTACCAATGGTAAATATTTGGATTAATAATGTTTTTTAATTTTTTCTTTGAGGTTTTATCTGACTTTATTTGACTTTGTTTTAGGTGAGCGCAAAGTTCAAGGTCGAGAGTCTCTAACAGCAAATCTGTTGTATTTTGTTTCTTAATAATCTGGTGTTCGTCTCTGTTGCCCTCCTTTCCTTTGTCTTTAGATAAGCCACTTTGCCACGTGTGCTTGCTTAAGTAACAGAAAGCAGTACCCTACCTTCTTCAGAACCATACCCAGCGACTTCTACCAGAGCAGAGCTTTGGCTAAACTGGTAAAACACTTTGGCTGGACCTGGGTTGGCGCAGTTAGAAGTGACAACGATTATGGAAACAACGGCATGGCAACTTTTATAAAAGCAGCAAATCAGGAAGGAGTCTGTGTTGAGTACTCTGAAGCTATCTCAAGGACCGCTGACCGCAGTGATCAAGTTGCAAGAGTTGTCAAAGTGATCAAGACCGGCAGTGCAAGAGTTTTAATCGCCTTCCTCGCCCAGGCTGAGATGAATATTCTGCTTGAAGAAGCTCTGAAGCAGAACTTAACCGGACTTCAATGGGTGGGCAGTGAGTCTTGGATTACAGCAGGTCATCTGGCTACTAAGAGGTACTCAGGAATCCTGATGGGGTCTCTGGGCTTCACCCTGAGAAAGACAAAGATAACAGGCTTGCAAGAGTTTCTTTTACAGGTTAACCCAAGTCAGGATCCTCAGAATGATCTGCTCAGAGAGTTTTGGGAAGAGACATTCAGCTGCAGTTTTAGTCATCGTCAGACAGCCTGCTCTGGCTCTGAGAGACTACAGGATGTTATTAACAATCCTTTTACAGATGTGTCAGAGTTAAGGATATCAAATAATGTGTATAAGGCCGTGTATGCAGTGGCTCATGCAATGCACAACATGTTAAAATGTGGACAAAGTGGTGAAGCCTGTGTTTGGACCGATGATTTTGAGCCACAACAGGTAAAAACTGACTTTAAAGTAGAGTATTGAAATTAAGTAATATTTCCCTTTATTTTATGCTTTTGAATATTGTTCTGTCTACAGGTTTTGAAACACTTGCAAGAGGCTAATTTTACTCTTCAGTCAGGAGAAAGACAATATTTTGATGAAAATGGAGACCCTGCAGCGACCTATGAGCTGGTGAACTGGCAGAAAAGCCAAGCAGGGGATACCGTGTTTGTGGCTGTAGGGAGCTACGATGCTTCACTACCAAATGGAAAGCAGTTTACAATGAATGGAATAAATATAGCTTGGGCTGCAGGATCCCCAAAGGTGATGCATATGTTATCTGTAGCAGATTTATCATTATTAAGATTTATGTGCCAAGTGTAGACTCTCGGTGTAAAGTCAAAAAAATTGAAGCTGATTAAATAAAACAGATTAAATTGGGTTGCAGGAGGATAAACTGTGAACTGAGGAGTTGTGGTGTCGTTACAGAGGCCAAAGTCTGTCTGCAGTGAGAGCTGTCTGCCAGGTTTCCGTCAGGCTGTGATTAAAGGGAAACCCATCTGCTGCTTCTCATGCATCCCCTGTGCTGCTGGAGAGATCAGCAACTCCACCAGTGAGTATCGCAGCTTTCCCGACATCAATTTAACCCGTACAAATAACACAGTCAAGTTCTCGAACTCTGCTCGCACACATTAACAAACACACCGGTGTGTTTCTTTCAGGTTCTGCAGAGTGTTCGCAGTGTCCCATGGAGTACTGGTCAAATGAAGATAATAGCAAGTGTATCCCAAAGGTGATTGAGTTCCTCTCATATGGAGAAACCATGGGCGCCCTCCTTGCTTCTTTCTCATTGTTTGGAGCTGGTTTAACTCTGGTGGTATCATGCATCTTCCTACGGTTTCGTCACACTCCTCTTGTCAAAGCCAGTAACTCTGAGCTGAGCTTCCTGCTGCTTTTTTCTTTAACTCTGTGTTTCTTGTGCTCGCTCACATTCATAGGCAAGCCCACTGAGTGGTCCTGTATGCTGAGACACACAGCCTTTGGCATCACCTTTGCCCTCTGCATGTCTTGTATCCTGGCAAAAACCATAGTAGTGGTAAATGCTTTCAGAGCCAATAGGCCATCAAACACAGTCCCTCAGTGTTCAGCTGCACTTCAGAGAGCGAGTGTCCTTAGCTGTACTTCGCTTCAAGTGTTAGTTTGTTTGCTGTGGTTGACTCTTTCTCCCCCTTACCCTTACAAAAATACAGCCTACAGCACTGAGAGGATTATTTTGGAGTGTGATGTAGGTTCACCTGTAGGGTTCTGGGGGGTTTTGGGATATATTGGACTCCTGGCTGCGCTCTGCTTGATCCTCGCTTTTCTGGCTCGAAAGCTGCCCGATAATTTTAATGAAGCTAAATTCATCACCTTCAGCATGCTGATTTTCTGTGCAGTCTGGGTCAGTTTTATCCCAGCTTATGTCAGCTCTCCTGGGAAGTTCACCGTAGCTGTGGAGATATTTGCTATTCTGGCCTCCAGCTTTGGTTTACTCTTTTGTATATTTGCCCCGAAATGTTATATTTTGTTACTAAAACCAGAGAAAAATACCAAAAAACATATGATGGGGAGAAACTAATCAAAATACTCAAAGCTGGCTTTAGACACACATTTATTAGATATCAAATATTCAATTTAATCACAACAGAAAATGTTTCCCAAAGGTTAAAGTGCAACATTAGTGTCATTTTGCAGGATTGTAAAATAGTGACATTGGAAGTCAAGTCATGGGAGATATATGATAAAAAGCTGAATTAATATTTTGTCCCATCTTCGTGCATAAATTTTACTACATGAAAAAACAATTCTCTTGCATTTTAATCATTGAACATCGACTTTTTAATTGAGTGCCTCCAGCTGACCATTTAGAAGCAGTGAGGAACTTTTACAGCGGCCCCTGGAGGCAAAGTTATATCTCTATATCATTCAGCAGATAAATATTTTTTTCCTCACATATGATGAAGTCATGTTATGAGGTTCTAATTCTGCTTCTTTTTAATAGTTAAAAATATCACTTTCTGCTAATTATTGCGGAAAAAATATAAAATAAGCCACTTCCAATCTAGGACAAATTTCTTTTGACTGCAAGCGGCTGCCAGAAAAGATAGATAGATTAAACTGAACAGGAATAACCAGTCTTCTTACTGATAACTTTGCATCCTTTTCAAGCTCCTATATGAAATAAAAAGTTTTAATTCTAGCCCATATCACGACCAGAAAATGATTTTTTAAAAATAATGCAGCTATTTAAAAAAACGGAGCGCTAAAATTAACAAGATCCTCAGTACATCTCATCGATCCCCTAAGACTTTACTGAAAAACAAACATAATTGACATATTTCAAAGCCCACTAATAGGCTGATTCATCTGTCTGTCACACCACCAGCACTGTGACTGGTGGAGAGAAAATCCACAATTTTCACAAAGGCTGCCCTAAAGCCTGTGTGGCTTCTCTACAGTCAAGAAAAAAACCTATAAAATGCTCAAGGTTGAAGGGTTTTATCTCCGGGGCCTTAGATAGCAGATAGTGAGGTGTGCAATCATGCGGCTGAGAGCAGATCTGCTACTTCTTTCCCTTCTGGCTGTCAGAGGAGGGAGGCCCATGTGTCAAACATATGGGACAAAAGAACTGTCTCAGTTCTCTAAAGAGGGAGACATCAACATTGGAGGCATTTTCTCCTTCCATCAGAATCCAGTACAAGTCAATCCTGCTCTCCAAGTCAACCCGGGAACAATCCAGTGTGAAGGGTAAGAAAAGGATAAAACAATGTCAGTCTTATTCTTGATGTGTTTGTCAGTCATGTTTTGAGTGCACATACATGTGTATTATGTTACTGCTCCATCTCTTGTTTATAGACTGGACCCAGGTGAGCTTCAGTACGCCTTTACTATGATGTTTGCCATAGAGGAGATCAACAACAGCTCAGAGCTGCTGCCAGGAGTGACACTGGGTTACAGGATCTTTGACTCGTGCCCGAGCATCCCTTTGTCTATCAGAGCGTCACTAAACCTGATGAATAGGTACGAGAGCGGTGAGAAAAGCTGCAGCAAACTCTCCAATGTGCATGCTGTCATAGGGGAAACCACATCCACCTCCACGATAGGTATTGCACGCACCATGGGACCATTTCATATACCTGTGGTGAGTGTAGGAAGGCTCTGTGTTTTCTGTCATGACTGAAATTGTCTCGTCAGATGAGAAGAAATGTTATAAAAATTGTATTTCATGTTTGTTATGTGCTTAAGTATTTTAAAACTCTGCTTTTTCTCTGTCATTCTTCTGTTTTAGATCAGTCATTCAGCTACATGTGCTTGTCTCAGTAACAGAAGGGACTACCCTTCTTTCTTCAGAACCATACCAAGTGACATCTACCAGAGCCAAGCCTTAGCAAAGCTTGTGAAACACTTTGGCTGGACCTGGGTCGGTGCTATCAGAACCAACAGTGACTATGGGAACGGTGGGATGGCCACTTTCCTTGAAGCAGCAGAGAAAGAAGGAGTGTGTGTTGAGTACTCTTTGGCTATTTATCGAACTGATCCAAGAAAGTGGTTCTTAGAAGTGGTGGAAATTATAAAGAAATCCACTTCTAAGGTTATAGTTGCATTTGCTGATGGCACAGACCTGGATATCCTCATTAAGGAGCTGCATGCTCAGAATGTGACCGGTCTGCAGTGGGTGGGCAGCGAGGGCTGGATCACTTATCGCTATATCGCCTCAGCAGTAAACTACGCCGTGGTGCAGGGGGCTGTGGGCTTCGCAGCATTAAATGCTCACATCCCTGGTCTGCAGGAGTTTCTAGCTAACAGCAGACCCTCTATCACCTCAGGAGACCAGGGATTGGTGGAGTTGTGGGAGACGGTGTTTGGCTGCACCCTAACTCCCCAAGCAGATGCTGAAGCTAAGGGTTCTGTCACAGCCTGCACAGGGAAGGAGTCTCTGAGGGACACAAACATGCGTTTCACAGATGTTTCAGATGCCAGCCTGCTGAATAATGTTTACAAGGCCACATATGCTGTTGCGCATGCATTACACATGCTGTTTTCCTGCAAAGATGGGCAGGGGCCTTTTGAGAACAATACCTGTGCTAATAAGGAAAATGTACAACCATGGGAGGTAAATAAGGAGTAATGTTTAACCTGAAAGAATCAACAAAATGTATGCACAGCTTTATGTTTAAATAGCTTAACTTTTGTCATAGGTGCTGCATTACCTCACACAAGTCAATTTTACCACTAAAATTGGTGAAAATGTGTTTTTTGATGAGCTGGGTGACCCAGCAGCACGTTACGCACTGGTGAACTGGCAAATGGATGACACCGGTTACATACTTTTCGAGACCATTGGTTACTATGATGCCTCCAGGCCTGAAGGTCAGCAGTTTGAAATGAAACCAGGTGTGAAAGCCATCTGGGCGGGCAATAATCTCGAGGTAAATTAATGTAATTGTGAGTGTTTTGAAAATTTAATGTGACTAAAACTCGTTGAATGAATTTGGTTGTGTTTTTTCTGCCTCTCTAATGCAGGTGCCAAGGTCTGTCTGCAGTGAGAGCTGTCTGCCAGGGACCCGTCGAGCTTTCGTCAAAGGCAAACCTATCTGCTGTTTCGATTGCATCACCTGTGCTGACGGAGAGTTTAGCAACAGTACAAGTGAGACAGCAGGATTCCTGGGCTTTAGTCTAGCCATCATTGTGTTTCTGCTGGGCAAAATCACTGCAGGCACTTTACTGGTCTATCTGAAGATGTGTGCGCTGTACAGCCTAAACATGTTTATGTTTTCAGATGCGGTGAAATGTGACAAATGCCCTCCTGAGTTCAAGTCCAACGAGGAGAGGAATAAGTGTGACTTGAAAGCTATTGAGTTCCTCACCTTCAGAGAATTGATGGGGATACTGTTGGTAGCGTTTTCTGTCTTTGGCGCCTGTCTGGCCATGACGATAGCCCTGATATTTTTCCACTACAGGCAGACTCCCATCGTGAGGGCCAACAACTCTGAGCTGAGCTTCTTACTGCTCTTCTCTTTGACTCTCTGCTTCCTGTGTTCGCTGACCTTCATCGGCCGGCCCTCTGAGTGGTCCTGCATGCTGAGACACACAGCGTTCGGCATCACTTTTGTCCTCTGTATCTCCTGCATTCTTGGGAAAACAATAGTTGTACTAATGGCTTTTAAAGCGACACTTCCAGGCAGTAGCGTGATGAAGTGGTTTGGACCTGCACAGCAGAGACTCAGTGTTTTAGGTTTCACTCTGATACAGGTTTTAATTTGCATACTGTGGCTGACAATAAACCCTCCTTTTCCCTTTAAAAACATGAATCACTATAAGGATAAAATCATTCTGGAGTGTGCTCTGGGATCATCTGTTGGATTCTGGGCCGTGTTAGGATATATTGGACTATTAGCAGTCCTGTGTTTTCTTCTTGCTTTTCTGGCTCGAAAGCTTCCTGATAATTTCAATGAGGCTAAATTCATCACCTTCAGCATGTTGATATTCTGCGCCGTCTGGATCACATTCATCCCAGCATATGCTAGCTCCCCTGGGAAGTTCACTGTGGCTGTGGAGATATTTGCCATCCTGGCCTCCAGTTATGGGATGCTGTTTTGTATATTTCTGCCTAAGTGCTATATTATTTTGTTAAAGCCTGAGCATAACACAAAGAAACATTTGATGAGTAAAACAACCCCAAAATCCATTTGAATAGGCATTTACTACAATGAATGTGTACATTTCTTTAATGTCAGGACACATTTAAAGCCTATAGACTTACTCTGGTGTATTTCTAGAGAAAGTAATCATAATAATTTTTAATAATATAATATATCTCGACAGAGAGATTTATAGTTCTGCACAAGAACATCTCCAGGCTGTTAGCAAATCAGAAACCTTGATGACTCGGAAATAAATTTTGCTCTTTTATTTTGGTGTTAAAAAAGGTCTGAAAGTGTAATTTTCTCACTTTTAATGACAGTTTTTATGTATGCAGCAGCTGTAATTTCCCAGTCTCTGGACTTTAATGATACAATTTTTTTTGCATAACAAAGCAAACAAAATAAAATTGTAATATATGCTGATGTATGCAGTCTTTGTTTCTCCCTGAACAGTCGGAATATATAATTTTACTCCACAATATACAGGGGAAAACTTCACAAAGTAAAGTAAACAATGGGAGAAGACAAAGTTATTAAGTATTATTCTACAGAGAAAGATTTCAAGATTGTTTGAATTTTTCGATTTATGAAAATCAATCCATTATCAGTGAATGTTTCATTCTTAATGAAAAAGTTATATTGAGTCTTTAACCATGCAATGCATCTCAAATGATGACACAGCAAACTTGAATACTGTTAATATCTTAAATAAAAAAAGGTGGCACAAATCATGAATACTTTAAATACAAAAATGGATAAACATAAAGGGTTTGTTTGCCTTAAATCTTAGATTTTCACAATACAGTCACCAACACTGACCCTAACCCTATCAGCCAATTTCATGATTAGTGAGTTGAACTTTAGTGTTTATAATACTTTACAATTAAAATCATGATTGAGAAACTTCCTAACCTGAGTAAAAACTCACCCAAGCCGTAACCCTAAATACAAACAGCTGATAGCGCTTGATAAGTGAGGCCTATGATGGTCATAAACAGAGGTCGAAAGGCTTGAAAAGACTAAAAAAGATACAAAACTATACTTTAAAGCCAGGTAAAAAATCAGGTTAGTAAGTTGAAGCCTTTAAAGGATATTTTTCTTATCAGTTGTTCCAAAATACTTTCGAACACTGCTATGAGGAATTAACTTTATCTGAACTGAGGTCTGCACCATTAACACAAGCTGAGAAAATCACTGGAAACTAGTTTGAGGTTAAAAAGTCAGTACATTTGTTAAAAAAGTAGTTTTACATAAACTTAGCAAAAGATTGGTAGATTTAAAGTAAGACACTACCTGTTGATTGTGAGGAAATCTGTATTATCCCTCAGGACAAAGGGCTTTATGACAGGCTGTTAGTTAAAAAAGGATGGTTTTCAGAAATAGCTTTAAGCTGCTGCTTTAGGGCCTCATATAGCTTCAGCAACAGAAAGTGTAAACTGTGAAGAGCAAGAGTTTCTTCTGTGGCGAATCAAGGGGCAAAAAGACTACGCATAAATCACTATTTTTAAGGATAATGCTTTTTGCTTTTTCTAATCCAGCATTCATGAGCACAAACACTATGTAAGAAGAAACATTTTGATCGAGCTCATTTCTTACTTCTAAACTTCCAGTTCTGATATCAACTCTGCTTTTTTTCTCAGATAAAAACAAACCTTCAAGGCTTCATTTTTAAACCTTTCATACAGTTTAGTTGGTCTTATTTGAAAGCATGAACAGCAAATATATTTCAAACAAGCTACGTCCTCAAAATCTTCACTGGTTGTCCTTTCATTTCACACTTCCTCACACTTTCACGTCCTCAGAGATTACAGAACTCTGTCCTGTTAGTGTTTTTTACATGACCCTAAAATGTATAAATACCAGTGCCCAGTTTAGATGTGGATTTCTGAGACAGTATGACATCTATCCAGAAGGGTTGGGCGCTGCTGCAGTTATGGTCGGTCATGTCAGTCTCTTGGACTGAGAAGTCAGTTTGCAGACAGAGAGGGGATGCAGAACACCCCCAGCTGTCCATGCATGGAGACATCATACTGGGGGGAATCTTCTCCTTTCACAGTCGCTGGAAGACGGGACTGCATACCTACTCAGACAAACCATTACCCCTGCAGTGCATCAGGTAAATGATAACAGTGTAATGTTTTCGGGGAGAGTAGAGAGCTGATTTGAGTAACATTGCACTTCATTTGATTAAATATTATCAACTGCTTTTAATTAAAATGCACCTGTTATTGCTTAATGGTTTTCTGTCTGAATTAAGCTTGAATTTCAGAGGCTTCCAGTATACGCAGGCTATGCGCTTCGCCATAGAGGAGATTAATAACAGCACTGACCTCCTTCCTGGTATTTCTTTGGGCTATAAAATCTATGACTCATGTGGATCCATTGCTAGAGCTGTGAAAGTCTCTCTTGCTTTGGTTAATGGTAATGAAGTGGTTTCTGCCCCGTCTGAAGGACCATGCACAAGACCTGCAGAAGTGCAGGCCATCATGGGAGAGACTTTTTCTTCACCCTGCATGGCAATAGCTACTGTCATCGGACCCTTTCATATCCCACTGGTGAGTAAGACTGAAAGACTGGATGTGAACGAGACGGTTTCTAAGAGGTTCAAGACAAACTAACTCTCAGTATAAATTGTATTTTCTTTATTTCTTTGTACTTTTAGATCAGCCACGCAGCTACTTGTGCCTGTCTCAGTGACAAAACCAAGTACCCATCCTTCCTCAGGACAATACCCAGCGACTACTACCAGAGCAGAGCCTTGGCACATTTAGTCAAGCACTTTGGTTGGACTTGGGTTGGAGCCATTAGGACAAATGATGATTACGGCAATAATGGCATGGCTACATTCTCAGAAACTGCCCAACAGCTGGGCATTTGTCTGGAGTACTCAGTATCTGTCTTTCCAACAGATCCACCAGACAAGATACAAAGGGTTATTGATATCATCAAGACTTCCACTTCCAAGGTCATAATTGCTTTCCTCTCTGCCTCTGATATGCATATGTTAACGCGCACGCTGTCTCATCATAACCTGACTGGGTACCAGTGGGTTGGCAGTGAAGGTTGGATTTTTGATTCCCAAATCGCAGCAACTGGTGGGCATCACATTCTGGACGGTGCTATAGGCCTGTCAATCCCTGAGGCACATGTAAGTGGAATGAGAGAGTTTATGCTGGATGTGAAGCCGCTCAATTTGTCGAGTAATGAAATGTTTGAAGAGTTTTGGGAGACGTTATTTGGCTGTAAGTTCAAAAAGACAGAAGCAAACCAGAGAGAATGTACTGGACAAGAAGATCTGAGTGGTGTTCAAAACGGCTTCACTGACATGTCTCTCATGCCGATCTTTAACAATGTGTATAAAGGAGTGTACGCTGCGGCCCATGCACTTCACAGGGTTCTCAGCTGCAATAAAACATGTGACACCAAAAGACGGCTGGATCCATACATGGTGAGTTGATTTAAAACTTTATTATTGCAAAGTCGAGATATTACAATGTGCTTCATGGGTGTGTATCTCCTCAGATTTTACAGCACATACAAAAGATCCAGTTCAAAACAAAGGATGGAGATGAAGTTTACTTTAATGAGAATGGGGATCCACCGGCTAAGTATGAAATCATAAACTGGCAGCCAAAAGAAAACGGTAAAGTGGATTTTGTCACTGTTGGTCTGTACGATGCATCTTTACCTGAGGACAAACAGCTGATTCTGCACAATAAATCTTTAATATGGGCACAGAAATCACAAAAGGTAACCTCTAATAGTCCCCTATTGCTTAATCATTTGGTTTTAATGCATAAAAACCTCCTTCATGCTCATACATCTCATCTTTCTCATGTGTTAAAACAGGTACCTGCTTCAGTTTGCAGCGAGAAATGTCCCCCAGGAACCCGTAAGGTTCTCCAGAAAGGCAAACCTGTCTGCTGCTATGACTGCTTGAGATGTGCAGAGGGGGAGATAAGCAATATTGAAGGTGTTGTAGATCTTAATAAAGTCATCTTGACTGGAGGAATTTCAAGGTTTGAGTATCAGACTTCAAATGCATGTGATGAGTGTTTGCAGAAGTTTTAGAGATAAGTACTTGGAGAAAAAAATCAAGTATCCTACAAAATGACACAATTGGGAAATCTCAGAAATGTGCTCTGAAGTTAAACCACCATTGTATAAAACCTGTGTAACTTAAAAATACTCAAATTAAACCAATTCTGGTGTGTGAATAGAAATGAGAAGAATATTTCAATAGAAAAAAGCAGTCTTGTACGGAACCTGGGAGGTGACATTAACTTTTTTTTTTTTAAGTATGCACGTACGTTTTAGTATCTTGCATGTGCATTTTAGTATATCGCACGTGCGATTTAGCTGTTTGTTAATAAACAAAATCACTTCCTATGAGTCACACCTAAATGAAAGAAAATGTTGATAATATGCTCTCTGTCCATGACACTGTCCTTCTTCTCTAACAAATGAGGCACGCAGAGGATTATTTACAAAAACGCATGTGCAAGATACAAATAAAACTTTAATCTTGAATAAAAAAAAAAAAAACGTTCATGTCACCTTCCAGGCTCTGTAGTATTGCTTTAAATTCACATCTTTTATTTCACATATTGCTCTAAATTGGATCCCAAAGACATCAAAACGAATATATATTTTTTATGATGGGCTGACAGTGAGCATTATAGACAATAACATTAGGGATTTATAGGTCACACTATTTGCCATGAAGACTTAAAACTGCATTGTTTGTGTTTTTCAGATTCTATCACCTGTGAGCAGTGCGCCCCTGAATTCTGGTCAAATGAGAGACGAGATGCTTGTGTGAAGAAGGAGGCAGAGTTTCTAGCATATGGGGAGATTTTGGGAGCACTACTCACTTCAGCTGCTCTATTAGGAACATGCATGACAGCTGCTGTGGCCTTCATTTTCTTCAGGCACAGACAGACTCCCCTCGTGAGGGCCAACAACTCTGAGCTAAGCTTCTTACTGCTCTTCTCTTTGACTCTGTGCTTCCTGTGTTCGTTGACCTTCATCGGCCGGCCCTCTGAGTGGTCCTGCATGCTCAGACACACAGCATTCGGCATCACTTTTGTCCTCTGTATCTCATGTGTTCTTGGGAAAACAATAGTTGTGTTAATGGCGTTCAGGGCGACACTTCCAGGCAGTAATGTGATGAAGTGGTTTGGGCCTGTGCAGCAGAAACTCAGTGTTCTGGGTTTCACTCTTGTTCAAATTTTCATCTGTATACTTTGGTTAACAATTTCTCCTCCTTTTCCTTTTAAGAATTTTAAAGATTTCAAGGAGAAAATCATATTAGAGTGTGCTTTAGGATCAAATGTAGGCTTTTGGGCTGTCCTTGGGTATATTGGGCTTTTGGCTCTGTTATGTTTTGTTCTTGCTTTTCTAGCTCGAAAACTCCCTGATAACTTTAATGAGGCCAAATTCATCACCTTTAGTATGCTGATATTCTGTGCTGTATGGATTACTTTTATCCCAGCTTATGTCAGCTCCCCTGGGAAATTTAGTGTTGCTGTGGAGATATTTGCAATTTTGGCCTCAAGTTTTGGTTTGCTCGTTTGCATTTTCATTCCTAAGTGTTATATAATTTTGCTTAAACCAGAAAAGAATACTAAAAAGAGCATGATGGGAAAGGGGGCACAAAAATCCTACTAAAACATTAACTGAAAAAAAAAAAACAGAGGCCATTCTCCAAATTAAATGTCACCAAAAAAGTGACATTGAAGGTCGACCAGTCATGCAAACCCAATATTGAATTGGGAACAGCGCGAAGACGGCATATCAAATGTTTAAGAACATTTTTATGGTTTTATTCTCTCATTTTACATTTAATGCAAACACACAGGAACAATAAAACACAGTAAAAGCACCTCAGTGTAAAAGTGCAAAGATTGTGGAGGAATCAATCACCTACAGAACATAATATCATTAAGTGAAAACAGACATGCTGCTGTAGTGGAAATCCCAGCATGGACTCATAATCACAAGCAAAGCCCTCTGCCTGTGATGAAGTTCATTGCTGTATTTACAAATGCAAGTTACCAATTGTAGCATCCAAAGAGGACTCCACAAAGAAACATGATTCAGAAACACAGGTACCGTCAAAGGGCCCTAACCCATCTAAGACTGACTGTGTCAGTGTGGATAGTGGTCCTGTTGGGTTCACTGCCAGCCTCAATTCTTTAACTTCACAGTCCCAGCTTGTTAGCCAACGACAACATTTGGCGCATTGTGAAAAGATAAATAGGACTCCATAAATCCAAGACTATTGAATAGCTGAATATATCTGATTATTTAATTCCCCCTCTGGGTGGAATAGTTCTTTTTATCCTATCTTAAATTATGTCAATAAAGTCAAAATTTCAACATAAAAAATTGAAATTTCGAGATTAAAGTCGAAATTGTAAGATTACAAAATGTTGCGAATAATGTCGAAATTTCAAGATCAAAAAAAAAAAAAATTTGCGATCAAAGTCGAAATTTCAAGATTGAAGTCGACATGAATAAAGTCCAAATTTTGACTTTTTTAAAATTATGACTTCAATCTCAAAATTTTGACTTTAATCTCAAAATGGAAATTAAAAAAATCTTCCTCCTGTAATTATTTTTTTTCTCTTCTTGTGGCCCTAATCCTCTTTCGTATGATCCAGTGTGATACGATTCATATCAACTACAAGCAAATGTTTCACTCTAACCAAATCACTTTATCTACACCAATGACTAATTTTTTGTTGTCGAAGAATAAATCCAGTTTCTTGAACTAACACTCCTTTGGCTCAACTTGTTTGGTTTCCTGTAGTCTCCTGTGGCTTGACATCAACCACGACAACTTCCCCCCTTGTTGTTGAAGGTGTATAAAGCCCTGTCGTGAGCTGCGGGGCTGATTGGCCCGGCCTTGAGCGCAGAGCAGAGCTATGCCATTGTTAAGGCTAATCCTCCTGGCTCTGCTGATGGGAGAGGGAGACTCTGTTTGTCGACGGCAAGGCTTGGCTCAACCGCCTGAACTGGCCCAAGATGGTGACCTTTTTATCGGGGGCATTTTTTCATTTCGCACAGGGCAGGATTATGTAGTTAACTCATTTCAGACAGTGCCAAGTTTAAGGAAATGCAAGAAGTATGTACTGTTGTCTCTAGATATTTGTGATTTTGTGATGTGTTTGTGACACTAACATTTATTCTGTCCTGTCTCACCACCCTATAGCTTTAACTTTAGAGAATTCAAATTTGCTCAAACTGTGATATTTGCTATAAATGAGATCAACAATAATCCCGACATGCTTCCTGGTGTCAAACTTGGCTACAAGATCTATGGTAACTGTGGGACCATGGACATACTGAGAGCTGCACTGGCACTGATGAGCGGAGTAAAGAGGGAACTGAGTGACAACTGCACTAAGAGTGACACAGTGCAAGCTATCTTGGGACATTCAGGATCGAGACCTACTATTGCATTCGCACCCGTTGTGGGAAAGTTTCATATACCTGTGGTAAGTAGGTAACGGTTAAAGCGTTATTTCATGATGTTTTAAGTGAGCTGTTGAAAATGTCTACGTTTTTATTAGATCTGACAAACATTATTTCTTGCATGGGTTCGTATTTCGGTTCTGCAGAGATGTTAAGATGTTTCTACATGTTTGCATTTTCGCTGCAGATAAGCCATTTTGCCACCTGTGCCTGTTTGAGCAACCGGAAAGAGTATCCCACTTTCTACAGAACCATTCCCAGTGACTTCTACCAAAGCAGAGCCCTCGCAAAGCTGGTCAAACACTTTGGTTGGACTTGGATTGGTGCTGTAGCTGTGAACAATGAATATGGCTTTAACGGTATAAATGCGTTCATCCAAGCTGCAGAAGAGCTCGGCGTGTGCATCGAGTATTCTGAAGCTTTTTCATCGTCAGATCCTCCTGAAAGACTGCAGAAACTTGTGCAGATCATTAAAAATGCAACTTCAAAAGTGATTATGGCTTTTATGTCTCACAGAGAAGTTAAGTTGCTTGCAAAAGAGTTATACAGACAGAACATAACAGGCCTGCAGTGGGTCGGCAGTGACGCCTGGGTCACAGATCACTCTCTGACTGACAGCGAGGGACACGGCATTCTGCTGGGCTCGCTGGGCTTCACAGTCAGCAGAGCTAATATCCCCGGGCTGGAGGAGCACCTGAGGCAGCTCCACCCCTCTCAGTTTCCTGACAGTCAGTTTGTCAGAGATTTCTGGGAGGATGTGTTCGACTGTGCTCTGAATGGAAGTGAAAACACACAGAAAAAGCCGTGCACAGGCTCGGAGAACTTGCAAAATGTTGACTCGCAGTTCACTGATGTGTCTGAGCTGAGATTTACCAATAACGTGTACAAGTCTGTTTATGCAGTGGCTCATGCGCTTGACAACCTGATCAAATGTGAAGAGGGAAAAGGGCTTTTTCCAAACGGTACATGTGCTGATAGTAAAAACATTCAACCATGGCAGGTGAGGATGAACCTGCTAAGTGTGATAAAAGCATGAATCCCTACAGTTTAACACTTTATGATTTCTCTGCTAGGTGTTGCGCTATTTGGACTCTGTAAATTTCACCACCCAGGAAGGGGAAAGAGTTTATTTTGACACTAACGGAGACTCACCGGCGAGATATGAACTTGTGAATCTACAAATCACAAACAGAGGGACGATGGAGGGAGTAACAGTTGGCATCTATGACGCTTCGCTTCCAGAGAGTCATCAGTTTATCACTAATAACATCCCAGTTGTGTGGGGAAATGGGCTGACCAAGGTGAAGCAAGGTCCACTTCACTGATCAGTAGCGTTTTAAAAGCCTTCATTAGTGTTTCGATTCTTTATTGCAACTCTACATGCTGCACAGACTGCATGCAAATGATAGTAAGAGAGTGTGTCTATGTGTGCAGGAGGTGCCTGTGTCAGTCTGCAGTGTGAACTGTCTCCCTGGAACTCATAAGGTCCTCCAGAAAGGCAGGCCAGTCTGCTGCTATGACTGTATACCGTGTCCATCAGGAGAGATCACTAATATAACAGGTAAATTAAGAATAAACAACAGTTTCATTCGCTGTTTGGAATGCAAAAAATCACAACATGTACAAAGACGAAGAAGAAAATCTCACACAGAAACAGAAAAGTGGCTTTATAAGGGTCTTAAAACCACACCGTTGATTTAACTCTACGTTTCTCTGCTTTTGTAGATTCAATAATCTGTATGAAATGTCCTCCAGCATACTGGTCCAACAAGCAGAGAGATGCATGTGTACCCAAACTTGTCGAATTCCTGGCCTACGATGAAATCCTGGGAACATTGTTGGTTTTGTTTTCTCTGCTGGGAGTTTTCTTGACTATGATCGTGACACTTGTTTTCTACTGCCACAAAGAAACCCCGCTAGTGCGAGCCAACAACTCTGAGCTGAGCTTCATGCTGCTCTTCTCTTTGACTCTCTGCTTCCTGTGTTCGCTGACCTTCATCGGCCGGCCCTCTGAGTGGTCCTGCATGCTGAGACACACAGCATTCGGCATCACTTTTGTCCTCTGTATCTCATGTGTTCTGGGGAAAACAATAGTCGTGTTAATGGCGTTCAGGGCGACACTTCCAGGCAGTAATGTGATGAAATGGTTTGGGCCCACACAGCAGAGACTCAGTGTTTTAGGTTTCACCCTCGTTCAGGTTTTAATTTGCATACTGTGGTTGACGATAAACCCTCCATTTCCCTTTAAAAATATGAAATACTACAAAGAAAAGATAATACTGGAGTGTAATCTCGGCTCTGCGATTGGATTCTGGGCTGTGTTAGGATATATCGGACTCTTAGCACTCTTGTGTTTCCTTCTGGCTTTTCTGGCTCGAAAGCTTCCTGATAATTTCAACGAGGCTAAATTCATCACTTTCAGCATGTTGATATTCTGCGCCGTCTGGATCACATTCATCCCAGCTTATGTCAGCTCACCTGGGAAGTTCACTGTAGCTGTGGAGATATTTGCCATCCTGGCCTCCAGTTATGGACTGCTCTTCTGCATTTTTCTGCCCAAATGTTTCATCATTTTGTTCAGACCTGAGCAGAACACCAAGAAACACATCATGGGCAAAACATCACATTGTGATATACAATATTAAAAATGTATTTTTTGATCTGGTTGTTTAAAACAAAAAAGGAAAGCATGCTGGTTCTTTCTGTATCGTCATTTTTATTGGCCAAATAAATCTTTTACTAATGGCTAGTTTCTTGTGTGTCTTTATACACGCATGACCCAATCTATGATCACACAGACTAAAAATCTGAGTTTTTCCATAATGAGTCAGTCAGTACTCAGATCAGAAAGCCCACCTGCCAATCCTAAACTTGAATAACACTGTAAAATATTTAATTAAGGCTAGGGTGACCATACGTCCTCTTTTACCCGGACATGTCCTCTATTTTGAGGCTGTTCGGCCTTGTCTGGTCTTGTCTGGCTTTGTCCGGGAAAGTTTATAAAATCCTTCAAATGTCCACGGTTTTGTACAGAAGTTTCGAGTTTGTGTCACGTGGACTTACTGAGTTAGAAGCGCATAAAAGACACACAATCTGACCCAAAAAACTCTCAAAATCGACTTTGTGTGACTCTGTGACTCTGTGCCCCCGTGTGGTTGTGTCCTTTTTTTGGGAAGTCAGAATATGGTCACCCTAATCAAGGCCATCTTTGACACTGAGTCTAAATCTTATAGCTCAAAAACAATCATGACGGGCCTTGACATCCTCTCATGTTGGTTTTCAGCTTTGTATTAGGTCTTCAACCAAAATCTCTATGCTTCAAAATGAAGCAGTGGGTATAGAGGGTGAGTAATGGAGATTATTTTCTTAGGATACTACATGGAATAAAACAGAACATGCAGATGGCTGCAAGATGGATCTTAATCTTCTTATACTTTGTAAGATAAGATCAGGCAAACATGAGGTCAGGTCCAGCAAATAAAACTCTGTAGAACTTGACAGGGCAAGGTTTACTTTAATAAAAAGACTTTTACTTGATAAACATGCAGAACATTTTTCGAGAACTTTGTCAAAACTATGTAAGTAAGAAGCTGGTAGCAATATTACCATGTGGTTCTGATGAGGTCCAATAAATCACAAGGCCTGCAGCACGGCCCAGATTTCCCCTGACATCAAATTAAACAAAAAAAAAAAACATATTTGCTCTGACACTGATGCGCTCAAGTTCAAAAATATGCTGATGCAACATAGAAATGAAGGTTGCACTTGTGCGCTGACAAAAACAACACAGAGGAAAACAGAGTAGAAAATAATTAAGTCCCCATCTGTCGGAGCTTGACTCTATTACCCGGTGACTCCTCTCCAGTGGGAGAGCTGCAGCAGGGCCCCGAAACACAAACACGAGTGATCAACAATGGAGATTGCTTCATCCTCTTACACAACAACAGGAACATCAGGTGGCATATTGCTCCACTTCTGTATTAATTAACAAGATTGTCACAACATGCAAATGTTACATTTCAAATCCATCAGGAGCTTGCTTTGATCGCTCCCTCCTCCCTCTGCTGTTGGTTCACCCAGGCTCTCCACTTTTTCTTCTTGTCAGTAACCTTAATTGAAAATGTTTTCAGCTTTTAGTGACAGATTGATAAAATGATATACATCAATTTTAAGATGATTTACTCCTTTTTAAGAAAACTGGTGGGAATTGCGAGGGCTCTTAAACTCTAAGTCTCATGTTTGACTCAGTGTGTCAGCACCCGTGATACCATGCTGAAGTTAAAAATTAGAAACAGCAGATGTAAGAGTATAGGCCCGGCCTGAGTAACACCACATGAGGACACAGCTCTCAAAATGTCATCTTCATCTGGTTTCATTTCAGATTGGATTCCTCAAATAAACAAATAAAGTAAATAAGAAATAAACAAACAAAAATGAGCAAGTATGTGAAGGATGATTCAATTTTACTTTATTTCACAAGCATAGAAGTGCACGTTTTTCATGTTGACCTTTGACCTTAAGTGATCAACATCTTTTGTCAGATTTGAGTTCGCTGAAACTGAATGTTTTATGAGCCATAAATTCATTGTTTAATATGGAAAAAAAGCAAAAGTTTTTCATACTATCAACACACCTTACACTTTGAAATTAAAAGAATTGCCAACTTACACCATCCATAATTATAAAGGCCTTTTTTAACTTTGCAAGACTGATGTTGATAAAAACGATAATAAATGTATTGATAATCCTCATATTTTATAACTCCATGTGAACAAAGCTTTGTTCTTATTCTGCACATGAAATTAAAATACAAATGTAATAAGTATGTCACTGGATTAATTAAACAATCAGGATAAATATTCATTTAAAAAAATGTTGCATAAAAGTTGTATATTAAATGAAAACAATATTTTTTCCCTTTGTATTGTCGTTTTTTTTTAAATAAATTTCACAGACTTAATACACTAAACATGAGTGTTATATTGCTGTAACTGACTCTTTTTTAATGCTTAAGTTAGACTTTTTACTTAATAAAGAAAAAAAAAGTCTGCCTCCCTACATCATGTTTTTTTTTCACCCCTTGACCCAATAGTCCTGAATACTGTAAAACTAGTCCACAAGTAAAACTGTTTTAGCTCAGTGATTGGATCACTTGCCCGTATAGAGAGGTTTGAAAATGACTTGACTCGGGTCTTGGCCCTCTGCTGTGTCTACTACCACTCAACTAAAAAAACACCTGAATTACTTTTGTTACTCTTGTATTACTCCTCTCTCCACAGTTTACACACCCATCTGTCTATCTGTCCAAGGGCTGATCGAGGGCTGATTTGTAATTTTCCCAGATCCATTTCAGTTTTAAACTTAAACATCTGGTTTCAACATTAACATGAAAAACAAAATGAGCTCAAACCTGACCTGATTCTGTATTAAACCCAGAGGTTTGGTTCCAACTTGAGGACATGATGGCTGTGCTGCAGTCTGGTAAGATGTTCATCTGCCTTCATTGTTTGTGTGTAAACATCAGGCCTGCTTTCTTCTACAGCCAGTTTACAGCTCAGCAGCAGAGCCTGACTGCTGTACCAGTAACAGCTGACAGTTTCGGCCTAGACTTTACAGTTATGAGTTCTGTTGGAGTTATTGTGACTGCATTTCAAAATTACACTGATTTTTGTGCACGTTATCAATCTTTCTACGCTCACTCTGTTATTACAGATTGAACCGAAATGACTTCAGTGCACAATCTCAGCATGCAGGATTGATCTTTATTGGCAAAATGTGGCTCATGTGTATTCATGTCAGAGTCATTTTTCATGCTTGACAACCTTTTGGTCTTACGCAAAGAAAAAACAAAGTTTGCACGTTCCTCTGAGGACAGCCCTGCAAAGTTGCCTCCTACATCTGAATAGGCCATAGAAAGCTATAAAACACATCCATCCAGGAATCAGGACTGTGCCAAAAGGCGAGGCTCTGAGATGACAACAGTCGCGTTTCTCTTCTTTACACTGTTCACCCGGATAGTGTTGTCTGGCACGTGGCTCAGATGGGATCAGAGTACTGATGTTTGTCAGTATGAGCACAATGAAGAAACAAAGGGCTTCAGCTTGAATACAAAACACAAAACTGCTGCTTTTTATCACAAAACTAAACTGACTTTTGGGAGGTGAGTATGGGGTAAATTGTTGGATTATTTCTGTGTTTCCTGTTTTTCTCCACCTTCAAATGCATCTGTCTCATTACTTGCTCTTTTTGTGCCGAGGTACCTAAGTGGGTTTTTTTTTTTTTTACACAGATTCTTTAGCAATTAGCTTGTAATTAAACGATTTCTCTGTGGGGATTCAGCCTAAATTATGGGAGCCTAAACGCCACACCGAGACACCCCTGAAAAGATAATGAGCCGATCTCGGGAGAAAACCTCTGTGGGTCGATTACAATTTAGTGCCAATTTACTGTAATAATAAACAAAGTTACAGCCTCACAGATGGGGTTTTGCTGCTTTCATGCTGCTGTACTCTACTTGAATGAAATACAGAAACTGACTGATGAAATGTGTTAAAATTGTACATGTGTATCTTCTCTGTGTAGAATGAGTGCTGCTTTGAAGAGGGTTTCTCACAAGGACGGGGCTGAAACAGACTGCACCCCTTTTCTTTCTATAACTCCCAACAGTGTCTTTTTTAACGGCTGTGTGAGCCGGCTGAAAAGAGTGAAAGACAATGTGGGTGGAGAGGTGCAAAACAGACATCTCTGCAAGTGTGAAATCAAGTTTTTGCTTGTGTATTTTTCGTCCAAGAGACGTTGTATTCAACTAACAAAGGTGAGAAAGGACATAAAGAGGAATTACATGCATTTTGAAAGTGTGGTTTTTAAATCTGACTTTTAACTTATATGCTAAGACACTGATTTATAATTACATGTATGTGTTTGCAGTTGTCTTTCGTGCAGGTAAAGATAGATAACGACAGCATTCAGTTGAGTTTGAAAAGTATGTCTTCCACCCCTGCTCTTTTGGGATCTGCACACTGTGTCTGCATGTTAGAGGCATGCAAACGCCCAGTCAGAGTCATGCACAGACGTGAAAATCCTACATGCCTAATCTTCATCTTGTCTGAAAGCCAAGGTATACAGGGATGCCCAGAAAAATCCCACAGATGTTTTTTCAGGAACTACAGCACACAGGTTTGTAGATGTGCATCCTCAGTACTTCTGTGCAGTCTTCATTTCTCTGTGTCACTGTCAAAGGAGGAGCGTGTGTCACAGTGCCATCACTGCTCACTTCTGCAGGGAGAGATTTGGCAAATGCAAAAACAGTGCAGTGAAGATAGAAAGCGAGGATAATTCAACCTTAACAGCTATTCGAAGTAGACATGCTTGTTAAATATAATAACTTGTATCATAATTATTTCATAGAGGTAGATGTTGTAAAGGATGAATTTCATGCTATGTGTTATGAGAAATGTAAAAATGCTTTTGTGTTCATGCATCCATGTATGAAGCAGAGTACTATGAAGTTTTAATAGAGGCGTGGGCTAAATCAATTATTTTGTATTTATTTTCCAACATAATGGGGCTCATTCATCTTAATTATATGAAATCGAAAAGCTTGTTTCTTCATATACTATCATGCAGTCCAAATTTATTTAATGATTTTATGTTTGGCTGTAACTAAATGTCATTTTTGTCAACAGGTGCCATCAACTTTCTGTGCACAGCAAGAAAATCTTTTGACACAAGCAGGTATTATCCCAAAACAAAACAAAAGACGGTGAAATTCATCATTGTGCATGTTTAATTTCCTCAAGCAAAACATTTTTTTTTATTGTATTTTATTCATTCATACATAAATGTACTGTTTGCACAGGCAGGATGGAGAGTTTGCAGTCAGTGTGCGCTACCAAACAAGCTGAAAGATTTTCTCTGGCAGCTGTGTTGCTTCTCGGACTCTTCATAAAAAGACTGAAAGCTCTACCAAACACAGTCAGCACTGCCCACAGCTCCACAATGGTGACGCTTATTTCAACAACTTTATACTCTTCTTCACCATCAGCAATCCTCCATCAGCCGTCTGAGCGGTCCCCGGCAGGCGTCAGGATGTCTTTTGTCGTCTCCTTTTCTTGTGTTCTGGGGAGATCGGTACATGTGGTTCTCGCCTGCAGGACTGTACTGTCCTTCATGAAACTGTTGAGTAACACACACCTACAGTTAAGGGCTCTGTCTACAGTTGTGTTGTTTTTATGGTTGACTTTCTGCCCCAAACAGTGGTTTGAGGACGTACCTGTTGATGATAATGTAGGATCAATACTGAAGTCCAGCTCCATGTTCGGGCAGGTTGAACTACTTGCCTTTTTACACTGTACTTTTGCTTTACTGTCAAGTTTGTCACAAGCCATCCCGACAAAAACACACATTTTTAGTGTTCTTTTAAATGTGCAGCTGGTAACCTTACTTCATAATTCAAGAGTCCCAACAAAGTATGTACTGGTCATAAAGATCAGTGGGTTTATATAAAAATATAGATCAATTCAAATGTAGAAACATTTATTTTAAATATCGTAATTCATTGTTAAAGTTCATGTTATTTTGTCCTCGTTCTCCAGTTACAGTTTTTCTCTGTGGTTGTATTAAAGGTGACCTTTAAAGGAAATGTCTCCTGTGTTATGTTTGGTAGACATTCCACTTCAACACCAGTTTTCTGATTAACGTAACACATTTCAAGTGTTTCCTTCAACAACAGCTCAGTTATGAATTTTCATGCCTGTGAAAAACTACAAAATATGCAAATTTGTTTTAAAGCTGCTATACTTATTTTAAATACTTATTCAAAATGCTCTTTCATGCATTTAACATGTCATGTAAAATGTATTTATTTACTATAAACTCAAAGACAAAGCCACTGAACCTGACAGCTATTATTACTACATAGCAGGGTGATGTGAGGGGCTGTGTGTGTGCGTGCGTGCATGTGTGTGTGTGTGTGCGTGTGGGGAGGGGGGCACAGAAACCTCAGCCTTGGCCAAAATGTCTTGATTAATATGACACATCAATAAATCATGATTCCAGATTCTTAAATACAAATCAATACAATCCAATTCTATAAGTTATAATTTTATTCAATATATTTGACTTGATAGATAGATAGATAGATAGATAGATAGATAGATAGATAGATAGATAGATGGATGGATGGATGGATGGATGGATGGATGGATGGATGGATGGATGGATGGATGGATAGATAGATAGATAGATAGATAGATAGATAGATAGATAGATAGATAGATAGATAGATAGATAGATAGATAGATAGATAGGGTCTTTATTTCAGCTTTTTTTTCCTGAATAATTCCAAATTCATCGACATTTTACTAAGTCTGGATTAATCAAGTAAATCAATTTATCCATGATTTACTTCGTACTAATTTTTTTCCCCAAATACTATTAAAGGCTTTCATTTTAATCTCAAGTCTCAACCAAACTTTTTAATTTAAACTTCTAACATTTTAACTTTGATCACAGTTGTTTAAAGTTTCATATTTTATATCCTGTAGAATCTTACTTCTTCTTCCTTCTGATAGTTATATTAAAAATTCCACTTTTCTTCCAACACTTGTATCCATATATCCAGTATTATTTATTAAACTTCATCTAGCTCAGACTTCATTCTGTAAATCCAGAGTTCAATTCCGTACAGTTACATGTTTCTTTTATACTTAAGTTTCAGTCATATGTGACAACCACTTTTATTTGATTCGGTGAAATTCAGTTTTGTTTTATCTTTACAAACCTATATCCGACTTATTTAGGCTAAATACATTTGTTTGTTTTTCATATAAAATGTCTTATTTCTTATTCAGACCTTCTCATTACATTGTCAAGAGTTGTTCAATTTTAACCCTTAATTACATTAAACTCAAATCTTATCTTTCAAAACAAAGTTTACGTGTTTGAATTTTTGACTCACAGCTGCTTTTTTTTATACTTCCATACTTTAGATATTGCAATAAAAAGACTTCTACTGTCATATCATTGCAAAAGATCTATAATTTGGAATTTTTAAAACTTTTTTACATTCACTATAAAACAATAAAAGACATAGACTACTAACATAAGACTGAAAGTTAGTGACTTATTTTGTTTTTCATAAATAATCAGGAAAAACACAGAACAGATGAAAAAAAACTGTTTGTTTTATTGATTTTAAATTGTTTTAATCCCTCTTTTTTTATTTCAAATGTATTTCATCGCATCTGTAAAGCACTTTGAATTCCCTGGTAAATAAATGGTGCTATGAAATAAACTTGCCTTGCCCTTGCCTAAGGGGATTTCTTATCAAATTATAAGCAAAGTGTAGGATGAGGAATCCGGCTTTACTTACAAAGATATCAGGGTGAAAAATGCTGCAACAATACTGCAGATTAGATCATCAAATACATGAATATATGACATATCTTAACATATCACAGAGGCTTGTTATGCATTTATGTATAAGAAATACCAAACTATCTGAGTGTTAGTATCTGTTTGAATCTGCTCTTGAGAACCATGAAGAAGAGGCCCTATATCATTTTGACGTGTCTATGTAGATTCTGGGCCTGTGAGCCTCCTCCTCATCTGATGATAACTTGATTTTATTGAATTTCCCTTCAGGAATCAATAAAGTTCTTCTCCTTCTTCTGTGTGACCATTCCTGGACAGCAAAACATCCACACAGTAAAGTCAGTAAGTACTTGTTTGATTCTCTAAGATGATGTAACCAGGTTTTCAACATTTTCATGTAATTGAAGTTTCACAGAAATGCAGTGAAGCAAGAAAACCAAACAAACCTTTTGAGAATTGTACCTGTGCTCACATTGGCTGGTAATATTTCTCTTATGGTCTATAAAGGTTTGCATCCATGTAAGACTCGTTTCAGTGGAGGGGAGGGTGTGTGGTCCATGATGGGTTGGATTGTAGTTGTCTTATTTGTTTTGCTGGCTGGGACAAAGTCAGAGAACCAAACGTGCAGAGTGATCGGGCGGACGGGGTTCATGGAGTTTGCTAAAGACGGTGATCTTATATTAGGAGGAGTTTTTGCTTTGAGTAGCACACGCAAGATCATAGACAATGGGTACAAAGAGCCTCCATCTGAATACTGCCAAAAGTGAGTGAAAAATCTTTAAATGTGAAATATTTCCACTGTTATATGCAATGCATTGTTTTATGTTTTGCAAATTGACTGTGTATGAGTAAACTCTGTGTTTGCAGGTTGAATGACAGGGAACTTAAGTTTGCCCGTACTGTGATGTTTACTATGGAAGAAATCAACAGAGATACTGAACTCCTTCCTGGAGTAAGTCTGGGCTATAGACTGTATAATGGCTGTGGAAGTGAGAACCTAATACGAGCAACTATAGAAGCTGTAACTAGAGAGGACCCAAATGGCTGCAGTGGTCAGATCCAGGCTGTCTTGGGTCATTCATCTTCTGGTATTAGCGATGACATGAACATCATGCTAAGCTCAATGTCAATCCCACAGGTGAGAGGAAATACATGTTCAATCCTGTTTTAGATGATGTGTAGATTTGTACTGATGTTTTTACCTTTGTTTTTGAAGGTGAGCCATCTTTCAACCTGTGCTTGTCTGAGTGACAAAAAAACATACCCCACCTTCTTCAGAACTGTACCGAGTGACCGTTTTCAAATCACTGCTCTAGTGCAGCTCATGAAATACTTTGATTGGCGCTGGGTGGGAATTGTTCACTCTAAAGGCATGTACGCTAGGGAAGGCTCAGCTGAATTCATCAAGGAAGCGATCAAAGAGGGCATATGTGTTGAATACTTGTTAACTTTCGATAAGTCAAAGCTCGAAACGTTCGACACCATTATAAAGACACAAGAAGTGTCCACATCAAAGGTGGTCCTGATGTTTATGTCCTTTTACTACATTAAATTGTTTATGTCAAATTTGGAGAATTATAACATTACTGGAAAGCAGTGGGTCGGCACTGAGGCTTGGATCATGCAAGAACAGCTGGCTTCTGTTGAGAGGATGAGGCTTTTACAAGGGGCGATGGGCTTTGCCCTTCCTGAGGCATCTATACCAGGTCTGGGTGATTTTTTACTCAGCTGGAAACCTTCAGATGAACCACAGAGTGAAATGCTGAAATCTTTCTGGGAGAAGTTTTTTGACTGCAGTTTTTCTCCATCAAATGACTCTACCCTATGCAACGGCACAGAGGATCTGAAAACAGTCTCCAGTCCCTACACAGATGTGACACAATTCAGGCCTGAGAATAATGTGTACAAAGCTGTGTACTTAGTGGCATATGCCATCCATGCTTTATTGCAATGTAAAAACGGCTCAAATCCCACCACAGGAAAACCGTGTATAGATAAAAGCCAAGTTCGGCCAAAGCTGGTAAGAGTGTTGACTGTTTTTTCCTCTTTACTCACAAGTGGTTTGCTCACTAATATGTGGTCATTGTACCTCTACAGGTGTTGGAACACATAAAACATGTGAACTTTACGACACGAAATGGGGCAAAGGTTTTCTTTGATGAAAATGGAGAATCTGTTGCCCAGTATGACTTAATGAACTGGCAGATAAAAGAAGACGGCTCTGTTGAAATCATAAATATTGGTCAATATGATACCTCTTTTCCAGAGGGTAAAAAATTCAAACTGAAGGACAACATCAAAATAGTCTGGGGAGGAGACCATAAGGAGGTAAACTGAAACTCTGCAGAGACTTTCTGGGTGTCATAGGTAGCCTCAACATGACAGAAAATGTTCTTTATTTGACCTAAATCATCATACAAATTATTTCTAATGCATAGTTGCTATTGTGCATGCTGTGTTTTGCCTATCAAGGTCCCAAGGTCTGTCTGCAGAGAACCATGCCCACCAGGGACCCGTAAAGCCAATAACAAGCTGAAACCAGTGTGTTGCTTTGACTGCTTTGCTTGCCCCGAGGGAACAATAAGTAACCAAACAAGTCAGTAAGGATTCCCTAATCAATTTACTCAGTTGTATGGGGGTGTTTAGGGGGTTTGTCTAGACTGTTTTGATCAGGGTCGCAGAAATGATGCACTGATGCAGGGGTAGGCATGCAATATGTGCACATTCACCCATTAATCAATGTAATTTATTGACCTTTTCTGTTTTTATTTAACGTATCCAGACACACTCGATAGCAGACCTATAAGGTTGTGTTTCATCTAAAGAGAATGATTCAATTTCTAAGTGCTTTGACCTTTTTTTACAGATTCTCCAAAGTGTTTGAGCTGTCCACCTGAGTTCTGGCCGAATGAAAAGAAAGACCAGTGTCTCCCAAAACCCACTGAGTACCTGTCCTACAAAGAGATCATGGGGACCCTTCTGACTTTATTTAGTTGTGTTGGTGTATTTTTGTCTCTTCTGACATCGATCATTTTTTTTACTCACAAAGAGACTCCCATTGTAAAGGCCAACAACTCTGAGCTAAGTTTCCTCTTATTATTCTCCTTAAAGCTGTGCTTCCTGTGTTCGCTGACCTTCATCGGCCGGCCCTCTGAGTGGTCCTGCATGCTGAGACACACAGCATTCGGCATCACTTTTGTCCTCTGTATTTCATGCGTGCTCGGGAAAACCATAGTTGTTTTAATGGCGTTCAGGGCGACACTTCCTGGCAGTAATGTGATGAAGTGGTTTGGGCCCGTTCAGCAGAGACTCAGTGTTCTGACTTTCACCCTCGTTCAGGTTTTGATTTGTATTCTCTGGCTCACAATAAATCCCCCGTTTCCAAAGAAGAACCTGCAGTACTACAAGGAGAAGATCATCTTAGAGTGTGCTCTGGGATCACCTATAGGATTCTGGGCCGTGTTAGGATATATCGGACTCTTAGCACTCTTGTGTTTCCTTCTTGCTTTTCTGGCTCGAAAGCTTCCTGATAATTTCAATGAGGCTAAACTGATCACCTTCAGCATGTTGATATTCTGCGCAGTCTGGATCACATTCATCCCAGCTTATGTCAGCTCTCCTGGGAAGTTCACTGTAGCTGTGGAGATATTTGCCATCCTGGCCTCCAGTTTTGGTTTGCTGGTGTGCATATTTGTTCCAAAATGTTATATAATAATCTTTAGGCCGGAGAGAAACTCAAAAAAGCATTTGATGGGGAAAACTCCACCAAAAACGCAGTGATTTGTTATTTAGAGCGCCTTTTAGACCCTTTGGCTTTGTATTTTTAGAATTTGGCTGATATATAACAAATATATACTTTTACCTTGCTTTGGCATGTTCAATAAACTCCACACGCTTAATCTTTTTCTTTCATTTATTAGATAACAAACCCTATCAGAAACACAGCGCTTAAATCTTAACCAACATACTGCTGAAGTAGTGTCCAATATCGAGGCAGTTTGTCCCAAAGTCTGTGTGAATCCTTTTAGTGGCCTGGTATAAACAACAGCGTGGAGTACAAATACAAGAAAATATGGTCTTTGCAAGCACAATGATGCAGATCACTGAAAAGACTCATTATTCTCATATCTGCGCTTGACTCTTTAGAGATCAGGCGGAGGAATCAATTGATGTAAAGAAGCAAATGTAATTGTGTACTAATGGACACGGAACTCAAGAGGATCTACTGTTTTGGCCGTCTAATGAAACACACTACACTAACAATGAGCGGGCAACCCATATCCATCCCTAACCAGTGCATTACAATCACTGTAAATTATCCTACTCCTGATTATCCACTCCAGACCTAGAAAGGTATAGGTGAATAAATCAAACACAGAGAAAGAGACATTAATCAAGGAAACATGAGACTAAAAGAGCAAAGATGAGGACACATACACAGTGGCAGAAAACACATAAAGACAAGATGTGGAGAGCTAGATAACTAACCCGGCAAATGTTACAGAAGCTTTTAAACCACGGCCAATGGTGAACAGAGTGATTATCCTGAACCGGTCTTGAGGCCGTGCGTTGAGAATCCCAGGTGGGCGCTCAAACATTGGTGAAATCAAACTAGTCCCAAACTGATGAATGATATGTGGTCCCTCCTCTGATCCCCATACCAAAGGGCTTTCCAGTTAACTATATGCGGGTCAGTCATTAATAATAAATGTGTCTTTATGTTAATCTGTTTGTGTGTTTCCGTTTTGTGTCAACTGTCTTGTGACAAAGAATAACATTTTTAGTATCTGCTTTAAGACTACAGGCAGAATTTAGCTGTTGTATTAGACTCAGCATGACTACATTTATCCACACAGCTAAGCAAGTTCATTAATGTGCATTTTTCTAAATTAATAAACTTCACTTATGAAAATAAAAGAACAGCCCAGAAACATAGAAGTATGAAACATGTATATTTCTGGGTATATTCATTTAACCGGCTCACAACAGGCCTTAGGTAAACATTTAAAAATGTCATGTTAGTAGATAATAATGAAAAGTGCCTGAAACGACATTAATGTTAAACTCTGTTGTTTTGGTGGCAAAAAGGCCAGTCAGCTATGTTTGCACTTTCATGTGTAAGATGCAAGGGTGTGTTAAAACTCGCCTCCCGATAGGTTAAGAGAACTGACCTTTTACTAAGCCATGAAAAAAATAATAATTGAACATAATTATCAGGAATAGAGAGAAACATTAACAAAATGAGCAGGAGAATTAACAGTTTCAGGCATATCGTGTTAAGAAAGTAAGACATTACCAAAGTTTAGTTTTTTAAGTCATCTTAAAGAATTATATTATATTTATGTTATTTTACACATATTTCAGTTTAATCTTGTTTATATGCCTTTCTTTTTTTAAACAGGCTTTACTCAATTTTTTGCTTTTTTTCACCAACTCTGCTTAATGTTGTTTTACACATATTTCAGTTTAATCTTGTTTATATGCCTTTCTTTTTTTAAACAGGCTTTACTCAATTTTTTGCTTTTTTTCACCAACTCTGCTTAATGTTGTTGCTTACAGTAAAACTTATATTCTGTAATCTCAAAATAATAATCAGAAGTAAACTAAGCTAACAAAAACTTTATATACATCAAGGTTTGTTGGCCTTTCAAATTTTTGCCACACACTGTAATGACAAACAGTTCAGTTAGAGCTGAAAAAGAACACTTTGCCACATATGACGGTATTTGTGGATCATTGCTGGGCGAACTGGTGATTTTTTTACTGAAAAACCTTGGGTTAAAGTGTCCTCTAGTGCGAAAGGATTCTACCTGACAGGGCCAACACTAGTCATTTTGGCATCGCCCCTGTATGTGTGTATGCACATGTATGCAAAATCCTGTCACTGTTGTATTAACCCTTTCAGATCCTGTGGGATATAATTCAGCAGTGATGAAGAGAGAGCATCTATTTGCATCTGAAAACAGTTAATATAAGAGCTCTGTCTTCATCTCTTCAGAAACATGTTGAGCAAACATGCATGAGCTGCAGAAAGCTCTTTTGTTTTCACTGTTTGCCCTCTCTTCAAACGCTGTTTCTGGTTGTGAACTGTTAGGTAGATTTGGCATGCCAAGCTTGTTTAGGCAGGGAGACATAATGATAGGAGGGATTTTTCCTGTTTTCAACAAAGAGATGAGTAGCACGTCAACGTTCAAGAGCAGTCCACCTGGAGTTGAATGTGTGGGGTAAGTGTAACCGACTTTTATACATTTTTAACAAACTGAGCTTTTCAAGATTGTCAACTCTGACAGAGACCTTAACCTTTTAGATTTGATCTGCGTCCTTTTCGGTGGACCCAAGTGATGATATTCACAATCGAAGAGATAAACCAAGACTCTGCTCTCCTGCCAAACATTTCTCTTGGCTATAGGATCCTTGACTCATGTGCATCTCCCACAAATACTTTGCGTGCCGCTCTAACTCTGGCCAGCGGACCTGGGGAGACAGAATTGACTTCCTCTTGTCCTCCAGCTATATCTGCTCTCATAGCTGAGTCAGGATCAACACAGTCTTTAACCGTGGCTGGAGCTCTCGGACCATTTCAAGTACCAATAGTAAGAGATAGAGAAAATACTCTACTGCATTCATATTTGTGATTTTTCTTTTTTTGTTGTGACTGAATTTTGTTGTTCTTCCGATAGGTGAGTTACTTCTCAACATGTGCCTGCCTGAGTGACAGAACCAAATATCCAACGTTTTTTCGTACAATTCCCAGCGATTATTTCCAGGCGAAAGCTTTGGCAGCTCTGGTTAAACGTTTTGGTTGGCAGTGGATTGGAGCCATACAGTCAGACAATGATTATGGGAGGAATGGGATCCAGGCTTTCACTGAAGAGGTTAGGAGGTATGGGGTGTGCATTGCATTTGTGGGAACAATCCTGAGGACATACCCTATGGAGAAAATTCTGGAAGTTGTGGAAATGATCAAACAGTCAACCGTCAAGGTCATCCTTGCTTTTGTTCCAGAGGGTGATTTTTACCCTTTGATGCAAGAGGTTGTGAAACAGAACATCACAGGAATTCAGTGGATTGCCAGTGAAGCCTGGATCACTGCAGCTCGACCCTCGACGCCTGAAATGTACCAAGCTTTTGGTGGAGCCTTGGGGTTTGTGGTGCAGAAGATGGCGATTCCAAAACTGAAACCATTTCTCACAAACATTAGCCCCTATACTGATCCAAGTGCAGCCTTTGTAAAGGATTTCTGGGAGATGATGGTGGGCTGCAGACTTCTTTCAGCTGGGGAGCACACAGGCACTGAGACAATGCATGAAGTATGCACAGGCAATGAGACCTTCATGAACCCCCAGGATGTGTTCTTCGATGTCACTCAGCTGAGAGTTTCTTATAATGTCTATAAAGCAGTTTATGCTATTGCTCACGCCCTGCATCAGCTGGTTTTCTGCCAACCAGTTGGAGGAAAAATCATGAAACCATGTTTGAATTTATCAGATATTCAGCCCAAGGAGGTGAGAAATCTTTCCAGTGAAATCTACAATTTGTCCAACTTTTTAGTGTTAACACGTATAAATACTGTGCTTCTTTATTCAGGTCACTGATCGTCTCCAAAGAGTGAATTTCAGGAATCAGTTTGGGGATGATGTGTTTTTCGATGCCAATGGTGACCCTCCTGCTTCTTATGATATCATTAACTGGCAGCTGAGAGACGGTCAGGTGCAACATGTCACAGTGGGTCATTTTACCTCTACTGCTGATGGTGACTATAAGCTCAGCGTCAAGGACAAAGACATTGTGTGGAGGACAGGGGAAAAAGTAAAAAAGTTTTTTTATTCAGCATGTTTGTGAGTTATGAGCCACATGTGAAAGTGAAATATATGATCAGACGAGATTTGCAAAAGCTGCTGAATAATTGCAAAGTTTCTACTTTTCTCCCCAGGTACCAAAATCCATGTGCTCTGATATTTGTCCAGAAGGAACAAGAAAAGCTCAGATAAAGGGAAAACCAACCTGCTGTTTTGATTGTCTTCCATGTGCAGATGGAACCATAGCTAATTCAACAGGTACGCTGTTAAACATCCAGAGACCATTGTCGGGTTAGGTGTGTGTATGTATGTCAAAAAAGTGCCCTAAAATGTAACCAATGTAACCACAACCACAGATTTCCTTGCAGTGAAATAATCAAATTTACTTTTTGTGATTAATATTTCTAGAAATCTGAAAAAATCAAGTCTGAATCTTTTTGTTTATGTTCAACAGGTGCAGCTGACTGCACTCCCTGTCCTCGGGAATTCTGGTCCAATGAGAGGAAAGATGAGTGTATTCCTAAAACTGTTGAGTTCCTGACATATGCTGAGCCAATGGGAATAGCTCTCTCAGTCGTATCCCTGCTTGGTGCTTCACTGTCTTTGGTCACAATGATCGTCTTCATCTGTTACAGAGAAACTCCGGTCATAAAGGCCAGCAACTCTGAGCTCAGCTGTTTCCTGTTGTTTTCTCTTTTCTTGTGTTTTCTCTGTCCTCTCACTTTCATTGGCAGACCCACAGTCTGGACATGCATGCTGCGACATACAGCTTTTGGTGTGACCTTTGCTCTTTGTATCTCCTGTGTTTTAGGTAAAACTATTGTTGTAGTCACAGCTTTCAGGGCCACCATCCCTGGCAAGAAAGTAGCAGAAAAGTTTGGCCCTGCACAGCAGAGGATCATCGTTTGCTCCTGCACTTTGATTCAGATAGTCATATGTGTGTTGTGGCTCAAATTAAAGCCACCTTTCCCAGACATGGTTTTCAGATACAGCAATAAGAAGATTGTTCTGGAGTGTAACACAGGCTCTGAGGCTGCTTTCTACGCGGTACTTGGGTACATTGGAATTCTTGCAATCATATGTTTGATTCTGGCATTTCTAGCGAGAAAACTTCCTGATAACTTTAATGAGGCTAAATTCATCACCTTCAGCATGCTGATATTCTGTGCTGTCTGGATCACCTTTATCCCAGCTTATGTCAGCTCTCCTGGGAAGTTCACTGTAGCTGTGGAGATATTTGCTATTTTATCATCAGCATTTGGATTATTAATCAGCATTTTTGCTCCAAAGTGTTACATCATATTGATAAAGCCGGAGAAAAATACTAAGAAACATGTCATGGGAAAAGTGTAGAAATAAAAGAATAGCATTATCGTGTAATTTCCATGTAACTCTTTCCTTTTGTACAATGTAAAGTTGAAATAAGATACATGAATATAGCAAGGCTTGTTGAAGAAAACACAACTTATCAACAAGTCTTCTACGTATTTTTCATTAAGTCACATTGAAGCATCGGTTTGTACTCTCAGTACCAGCTCTCCCTATATTTAATAATTGGCATGTGTATAATGTTGTCAGTATCAGTAATCTCAACATACATTCATTGAAAAAAAAACTTTATTATATAACACAAACAGAGAACATCTGCATCCCCATGCACTCATTGAATTTTCCATATGAAAACTATATACAGTAGCTTAGACACTGTAAAATTTCCCCGGCTGAAGCAGATAAGTGATCATCACATCATGAAAAGACATGTCACAGAGCGTGCTGAAGATAATGTAATTTAGATGATACCATGAACTGCCAAAAGAAACTGTAATATGGAGAGAAAGGGGAAGGATGCTGTCAGCTGGTAAGAAATCCCGGTGCACCAAAAAAGTCTTGTTGCACAGAAGATGCCCCAGTTTATTTAAAATAAAAAAGAATTGGGTCTCTTTTGCATTTCCTCATTAAAATACTGTAAGAAAAAAAAAATTGGAAAAAAAAATCATAAAATTGTGTGTTGCAAATTTGTCACAGCATGCAGTTATTGTGGTGTATATAAACTCTTCAAAAAAGAGGGTCCAAAACCGTTTGAAAAAACATTGTGTCATAACAATATCCACTGATTGTATTTGGGGCTTTTGGGAAATGTTAAAGTGCTTGGTTCTTCCTGCTTGGAAAAATAAACTCTTCTTCATAAACTTGTTATACTTTTTGGTGTTAAACTCATCAGCTTAGAATACAAATGTTCTCGGCAATGTGCTGGAGCTGAATTGTTTTCACAAGGTACTTGACTGATGGGCCTACAACCCTATATGCATCACACTTACTGTCTGAGCTGTGTCCACAAAAACAACAACTCTGACACCCTTTAAAAAAAATCAGGTAATTTAGCAGGATGTATGCCATGTTGGGCAGATAAACTATATAACTTATAAAGATGGAGATAACTCAACTTCAAAGTCCGTCTTATTGTTTGAAAGATATTGGATAGTTGGGATGGGGGCTGCCAGCACAAAGAAATAGATTAAGTGGGCACATGCCCTAAGTTTTTAAGAGTCTGTGATTGGACACGCATCAATTGCTGTGGTGTGTTCTACATAGCAGTGGTATGCAATCTAACAATAACATACCATTACAAGAATTATTGACCAATCAGAGTACCAATCAAGTACTTACAGCTGCAATCAGAGAAAATAGCATTTGAAAAAAACATTTTTATAAACGTTTCTAGTTGATTGATTTGGACTTTTTATTCTTGAGCCTCATCAATACTACATTTAGATAATGCGAAATTCCCTTGTACATAAATCATTTACATATGAACATAATGTTGTGTCATTTTTATCTCTGCATCATGTTTTTCTTACAGTTTTTTTCTGGTCTCAGAATAATGATGTAGCACTTTGGAGCAAAGATACAAAAAAGGAGAGCGAAAGCTGAGGCTAAAATGGCAAAAATGTGAACAGCTACTGTGTATTTCCCTGCTGTGCTCACATAAACAGGGATGAAAGTTATCCACACAGCAAAGAATATCAGCATGCTGAAGGTGATGAGCTTCGCCTCGTTGAAATTATCAGGCAGCTTTCGAGCCAAAAAAGCCATTAGGAAACACATGCAAGCCAGGAAACCGATGTATCCGAGAACGCACCAAAAACCGACGACTGAGCCAGCAGCACACTCAAAGATGACTGTGGCACTGTGGTAATTTGTGTTGTTGTTGGCATGAGGAGGATCAGTGAGCAGCCAGATGACACAGATTATTACCTTTGAGAGGGGGGAAACAGAATTTCACTTTATTAATCTCACAGTTGAGAAAACATGAGCACAGATGGATGGAAAAGGATTCTACCTGGATGAATGTTCCTAAAAGCACACTGGCTCTCTGCTGGTCTGGTCCAAACCACTTCATGACATTACTTCCTGGCAATGTGGACCTAAAAGCCATTAGGACCACTGTTGTCTTGGCCAGTAGGCAGGAAATGCAGAGGGCAAAACTGATTCCAAATGCTGGGTATCTGACGCGGCAGAGCCAGTCTGAGGGCTCACCAATGAACAGAAGGCCAACCAGAAAACAGACAGCAAGAAACAGCAGGAGAAGGAAGCTCAACTCCATGTTGTTGGCTCTAACCAGTGGTGTGTCTCTGTGTGTGATGAATATGGCCAAGACTGAAAGGGAAGTGCAAGCCCCTAGGACTGAAATTACACACAACACAATCCCCATCAACTCGTAGTAAGACAGGAACTCAATTGTTTTTGGGATGCAGTGCTCTCTGGCGTCGTTGGGCCATGAGTCCTCTGAGCAACGTGAGCACTCTAGTGAATCTGGTGATAGACAGAAAAAGCTTTTAGCAAATAGACGCCAGATTAAGATACAAGCTGTTCACTTTATATTTTGAGGATATGACTCAACACACCTGTCATGTTACTGATTTCTCCCTCAGCACAAGGAACACAGTCGAAACAGCAAACAGGTTCCCCCTTCCTCCTGGCGATACGGAAGCCTGGAGGACAGCTGTCACTGCATACAGCCCGGGGAGCCTGAGAGGCAAAGTTCAGCCACTCAAAGAGACGCTGGATTCAGTCATATCCGGGCTTTCTGAAACAATACTGATCTCTACCACCTTTCTTTTAGTTTATGTAATCACAATGTGCAAACCAAATTCAGGAAAGCGCGTCCGTACACTTTATTAACTCAGTATTCCTGTGATAACAAGTTAACTTCAGTTTTTCTCATGTGATCTTGATTTTTTCTGTTATCATGGAATTTTAAAAAGCTGGATTATTTATTATCAAGACCTTTTCATCTTTTTATATCAAAAGAACAAAACTTGTCACGTGATAACAATATCATTTCATGCTGCTACTGCCTTATTATGTTAATACCTCAATTGCTAGATTTGTAAAATGTAATCTATGGAAAAATATGGCATTTACTTGAGAAAATAATCCCACTTTTTCTGCATTAGTGAGATAATGGAGTTGGAAATAAGAAAACTCATGAAAAGTGAAAATCTGTACTTTAAAAAAAAATACATTAATTGTACTTCAAGAGTAATTATCCAGTATTTTAAACATCTATATCTATTTATGTCTTAAGAAACCATAACTTAAGTTTGCAATATCCAGCAAGTCTCCATCTGAAATACTGCAAAACCTTACATGCTGATGCAAAATAAACAAGACATTTCTAGGTTTATTTTTCATTAAACTTGTCTCATTCCTAAAAAAAAAGTTTTTTATCTTGAGTAAATGCAGTTTAATTCTGATGTCATCTAACTTGCATTTCAAGAATAGCTCAGAGGAAGCATGAAAAGGTGATTTTGAAGTGCTTAAATTCAGAAGAATATATGGTTTTATGGTTTTAGTCAGTAGTGGAAATATCTTATCTCATCTTAATTGTCATACATTTGTCGATGTTTACTTATGTCTGCCTTTTAACAGTGAATCATATTGCACAGTGATAAAATCAAATTCACCGATGTGTTGATCAAAAGTACATACAACAATCTCAGAGGTGAACATGGCCTCAAGCCTATTTGCAGAGAACACACCTGCTTCCCCACAGGCCACTGGATGACCGAGTCATTAATGACCAGACTGCGTCCAGCAGGCGAGGAGGCGTCATAGAAACCTACTTTCACCAAATGAAGTGAGCCGTCTGGATTCTTTTGCCAGTTTATGAGATCATAATAAGCTATGGGGTCTCCGTTTTCATCAAAGTTGATTTGCTCTCCCAGTGCAGAAAAATTAGCACGCTTCATGTAGTGGATTAGCTGATGGAGGAGAGAAAACATGGCTCTGAACTCATAATGCATTCATTTATTTATTCATTTAAAGCAGTTTTTAAACTATTAGGAGTCTCACCTGCCATGGTTTAAAGTTCTTTGGGTCTGCACAGGAGCCATTAAGAAAAGGCCCCACTCCAACTTTGCAGTTACTCATGTCATGCAATGCGTGGGCCACCAGATACACCGCCTTATACACATTATAGGACACTCTTAACTGTGTCACATCAGAATAAGGAGAGTAAACATTCATCAGATCCTCCGTTCCTTTACATAGCAGCCTGTCAAAGTAGTTGTCTCCCCCATGAGAGTGACTGTTTACCGACCCGTTTAGTCTGCAGTTAAACAGCTCTTCCCAAAACTCTGCTAAAAAAGCTGATTTATGAATGTGCGCTGGTCTGAGTCTGATCAGGTGTTCTTTCAGGCCTGGAATCACATCAGCTCTCCGGATGGCAAACCCCAAAGTTCCAGCCAGGAGGTCTCCAAACTTTACCCAGAGTGATCTGGCAGTGGCCCAAGCCTCGCTGGCGATCCACTGCAGACCGGTTATATTCCGGCGTTGAACCTCTGCCAGGATACCCTGCAGCTGCGACTCACCAGCGAAGTTGATGATTACTTTTGAGGATGCCATCTGAACAGTGAAAACGGGGGAATAGTTAATATTTAATGAACCTTTAACAGCTTCAAGAGCTTCAATTAAGTGATGGTGTGTTTGACATGGAATATGATTCACGACACGCTCCTGTTATTGCAAATACGGCGATACTTTGACACATTATTGTGTGATACATGTTTAAAAAAGCCTCATTTGCAGAGAGGTAATTTGTGCACAGTGATGATATTACTTCTGCAGAAAAAAAACACAAATTGCTGCCACGTTTCAGCATCATGTAATTTCCTCCACCTGTAATGATTACCTGAATTACATCCAGAAGCTCATCTAGGGCCTGTGGACTCAGGGTTACAGGGTAAAAGTGAGTGTAGGCAGCACACACACCGTACTGCACCGACTCCTGCAGAAAGAGTTCGATGGCAAAGCGAGCGTAATCAGACTCCACACCAATGACTCCCACCCACGTCCAGCCAAAATAGCTCACCAGCCGGGCCAGCGCTTTGATCTGGAAGGCGTCACTCGGCATTGTGCGCATGAATGTGGGGAACTCCTTTTGATTACTCAGGCAGCTGCAGGATGCAAAGTAGCTCACCTGGTTAAAGCAAACAATAGTTTTCAGCACACTATGAAAGGCTGAATTCAAGCATCACATTTCACCAAACAAAAGCGCCATCTGAACAGGATCCAAGGTGTATATTCAGGAGGTTTATGGTCCTGCAGCCTAACCAAGATTAAAGGAATGCAAGATATTTTTTACTAAGTTAAACATAAACACATTTGTGAGGATTCAAGAACATCTGCAAACCTCATTTTGTCTCTCGTTCTCGATAGCAGTGTCTCCCAAATTACAGCTAAAAAGAAACAGTGAATTTCCTCAATTTGATCTCAATAAAAATGTTCAAGCAAGTCAGACAATCTCACCAGAGGGATCTGAAAAGAACCCAGGGTTCTTAGCAGCGCCATAGACACTCCAGAGGCGGCATCACCAATAATAACCGAGGATACAGTCCTCTGTACAGCAGAACAGTCTGAATCAAAGGTACCCTGTCTCTCTGTCACTTCAGTTTCAATCTCATCCTCAGCTGCAGAGTTTCTCTCTGGCTGGCCATTCACCAGCAGCAGAGACGCTCTGAGAGAGACAGGTATGTCATCACAGCTGTCACGGATGTGGAAACCCAGCTTGAGCTGCGGCAGAAGGTCCTTGCGCTTATTTATCTCTCTTATTGCGAAGGTCATGGTCTGCATCCAACGCAAGGCACGGGAGCTGAAACTGTGCAGAATCGAAAAAGCAGTTCATTGCAAAACATGATGGTTCGAAATACAGAACAATGAAATCACAACAAATGTCGACCACTATCGCATTCACCCAAGCAGTCACTTACTATTTGTACATTGTTGGTGTTGGCTTTGTTTTATATGTTGGAAGAGAGGATACAGAGCTGTAATGTAAAGGAAACAACCCTCCTATAACTACATCTCCATCTTCATACAAGCTGTTATTCTCCTCCTCCCCCAAGAAAACACACTGATCCACAGCAGCAGCCGAGTAACCCCTCAACAGACAAAGAAACAACAGCAAAGAAAGCATGGCTCCAGCAGTTTACATGAATCTCCCTTAAAGCTGTGTTAGGCAAACAACTAAATACACAGAAGCTGCTCTTTCTTGGAAAATGAATGATTTTTCAGGTTACAGCTGGATTATATATAGTCATACCAAGTGCTACAGGGACCGCCCAGCTACAGCTGTTGAACGATCATTATAAAGGTGCTATGTTGTTCCTTTATCACAGTGAATACAGTTTCCATTACAATACATCATGAGACATCAACAACAACAAAATGTTATTAATCAGCCCAAAAGTTTTACTCATGCGGTGGAATAATGTGAAAAAAAGTATAATGCAAATTATAATTTGTCCTAAACTTTGACAACATTGACAGGTGACTGTGTTTGTAATTTCATTTTTTCACAGCAATATCTAATCTGGGTATTACCATTACTGTTGATATTGTCTCTCAAACAATCAAAAAACAGCGGAAAAGACAGATGCAGTCAAAAAATACAGTGATGGTGAAATTTATTTGTAGCCGGCTTCCCAAGGTGCTGTGCAAAAATATTTATAAAAAGGTGCAAAAATGCTCGAAGTACTATTTACAAAAAATGTACAAGGTTAAAAACAAACAAACAAACAAAAAAAGAACACAACAACAACAACAACAACAACAATAATCAGCAACACAGCAGCAACACACACAAAAAAATCAGTTCAGCAGTTACCATTCTTGCACCCAACTCCATACTCCAAGAGAGGCCCAGGCAGCCTTCTTTCAACCCCCCTAGCCCCTTCCCTGGGCACAGCCATACACAAATTATAGGGGTTTAAGATAACATATGTAAAATACAACACAAACTCCTCAATAATTCAGACAGTTCACCACATAGAAAAAAGGCATTAATCGCCCTCCATACAGCTATGACCGTCCTTACCCCTTGAAAACACAGTGAATCAGACAAAATATCACAAACAAACCATACTGGTATGGTCCGGCGGTCACATGACCCCCAAAGGCGCGCCACCTGTAAGCGCGCCACTTTGTGCTATTTCCTGACGGACCCGGAAGTCGTCTGGTTTGACTTGGAAGATGGCAGCAGGTAAGTGGGTGTTCATGTGTGTGTTTGGCGTGTAGTTGTCGAGTTTGCACCCTCAAACGCCGACAGCGGGGAGAAAAGAGTCCAAAAAAAGGGAAACGGTTGGTTGGAGTGCAAGATCGCGGGACACAGGTGCGGGGAAACAGTTAAACAGTTTGACAGAGCTCCTGTGCGCTGCTAGCGCACTTCCGGTACCGGCACTCTCAGGCCACGAGGAGAGTCACGCGCCAGTCGGGGATGACGGTGCGTTTAATGGCGCTCCGACACAAATAGTTATTTGAAATTTTTTTTGATGAATTTGATTTCATGTTATAGTAAGTGCTCAGCACATACATACACTATAATTCTGACACTATACTGTCATACTTTCATTGATTACTATTCACCTTTACTACCATTACTACCTAAACACCACAGTTAATACTTTTGTGAGTGACTTGAGACAAGATTACAGAGGCATTCTGAATTTTTAAAAATTGTTTTACTGCAACTAATAAAATTGTAAACCTTGACATCTTTTTGTACATCACATGCGGTTCAGTGCATGTTTATTGAACAGATGTTCAATACACGTTTGACTAAGTTACTTTCGATAAGAAACATCACACCTTCCACACTGGTTGAAAATACATGAAATCTTGTACATTCTCCTGTGTATCTATGATAGTTATTTAAGCATATTTATGTAGTTGTCTGAAGTGCCTGCTGACACCTGCATACGTGCTAGTTAAAATTATGCTGGCAGAGACTGGTATATTCTCAGTTTACAGTGTTTAGTTGATGTCTCCATGCTCGAACTCTGTAGTGGTATAGGTTAGTGTTGTTGTCTTTAATTGATATGATATGTTACTGAGTAGATCAGAATTTGAATTTGTGGTGCCTGACCTTATTGTGTGCACTTCCATGGAAATGATACATGCTGTTAAAGTTAACAAAAGTGGGAAAATATATGATATATTAACTTATAAAAAACTGAGGGTGTACAGTCCTGGAGTAGGTTCACGGGAGGTCCTGGCTACTCTCATAGAAAGCCACGCTTATTTCTGCTGTTAAATCAGAACATTAAAATGTCATCTCATTATATTACAAACACTCATGAGTAATATAGTAGGTCTTAATTATTTTTACGTTATACTAACAAGACCCCAAAAATATTGAGAAGAATGAACTGAAGCTGAATGCTGTCCCTCTTTAAAGATATAATGTGCAACCCAAAAATAAAAAAATAGATTTATGTAATTATATGAGATTGAACGTGTGTTCTTGCACATTAATGGTAAAGGAAATCACTTATCCCCACTGTATCTCACTCATATTAGCGGTTAATGTCCTTTGGGAAGCAAATCAACCTTTTACGTAGAGACACATGTCCACCTGCATCTGATACAGGTGTTATAAGAGCTGTGTCCTCACTTTTTCTTTAGCAAACATGTCTGAGCTGCAGGGGGTAGTTATCTTGTCACTGTTTGTCCTTTGTTTGAACACTGTTTCTGGTTGTGAACTGTTAAATAGATTCCACATGCCAAGTTTGTTTAAACATGGAGACATAATGATCGGAGGAATTTTTCCAATTTTTGAGAAAGAGATCAGCAGCATTTCTACATTCAAGAGCAAGCCACTTGGAGTTAAATGTGTGGGGTGAGTTTTATTTCATTTGGCTTTTCTATTTTTCATAATTGCTCTTTTACAAGTTTTTACATACTTAAAACTGTATGAACATTTGAAGCTGCAACACTGTTGTTTCAGATTTGACCTCCGTGCTTATCGGTGGATCCAAGTGATGATGTTTGCAATTGAAGAAATCAACAAAGACTCTGCTCTCCTGCCAAACATTTCTCTTGGCTATGGGATCTTTGACTCATGTGCATCTCCTACAAATTCTTTGCGTGCTGCGCTGACACTGGCAAGCAGACCAGAGGAGACTTCGCCTTGTCCTCCAGCCATACCTGCACTCATCGGGGTTGCAGGATCTACCCAGTCCTTAGCTTTGGCGAGAGCTCTTGGACCCTTTAAAGTACCAATGGTAAGAGATTTGATGATGTGTTTATTTGATAATGTTGTGTCATGTATGGTATATTGGTAATGAATATAAGGGTTTCTAGTTAGAAGCAGATCAAGCAGCACATTACCTTTTGGCTGAGCATTTTGTACCATACGGAAACAGCGGAGTTCTTAAAATTGAGTTCAAGAAAGTGGCATCAGAAAATGATTAAAAGATGACAGCGAAAACTGCTGTTTTCAAGTCATGAAACACCCTTCTTTTTTCTATTTTTTTTTTGAGTAATTAAATGCAAATGAACACACTGAATGATGAACACCATCATTCACCATGCTTTATATGTGTTTTTTCCTTATACTGACTGATTGGGGTAAACTGTTTTTTTCTGACTGTTTCTTTGTAGGTGAGTTACTTCTCAACATGTGCCTGCCTCAGTGACAGAGCTAAATATCCATCATTTTTTCGAACAATTCCCAGTGATTATTTCCAGGCCAAAGCTTTAGCAGCTCTGGTTGAACGCTTTGGTTGGCAGTGGATTGGAGTCATACACTCAGACAATGAATATGGATATAACGGATACAAGGCTTTTGCCAAAGAGCTTAAAAAACATGGAGTTTGCATTGGATTTGCAAGAACTTTATTATATACTTACACCATGGATAAAATTCTGAATATTGTTGAAACAGTGAAGCAGTCTACAGTCAAGGTCATCCTTGCTTTCGTCTCAGTTGTCGACTTTTACCCTTTGATGCAAGAGGTTGTGAAACAAAACATTACAGGAATTCAGTGGATTGCCAGTGAAGTCTGGATCACAGCAATTCAACTCTCAACGCCTGAAATGTACCAAGCTTTTGGTGGTGCTTTGGGGTTTGTGGTGCAGAAGATAGCGATTCCAAAACTGAAACAATTTCTCACAAACATTAGCCCATATACTGATCCAAGTGCAGCCTTTGTAAAGGATTTCTGGGAGGTGATGGTGGGCTGCAGACCTGTTTCTTCTGGAGAGCACACAGGCACTGAGACAATACATGAAGTATGCACAGGCAATGAGACCTTCGTGAACCCTCAGGATGTGTTCTTCGATGTCACTCAGCTCCGAGTGTCCTATAATGTCTATAAAGCTGTTTATGCTATTGCTCATGCCCTGCATCAGCTGGTTTTCTGCCAACCAGTTGGAGGAAAAATCATGAAACCATGTTTGAATTTATCAGACATTCAGCCCAAGGAGGTGAGAAATCTTTCCACACATGTCCATCTGTCCAAAAACAACCATTCTTCTCTTGACATTTGATGCTGATATAAACAATAATAAATACTTTGCGTCTTTATTCAGGTCACTGATAACTTACACAAGGTGAATTTCAGGAATCAGTTTGGGGATGATGTGTTTTTTGATGCCAATGGCGACCCTCCTGCTTCCTATGATATAATTAACTGGCAGCTGAGAGACGGTCAGGTGCAACATGTCACAGTGGGTCATTTTACTTCTACTGTAAATGCTGACTATAAGCTCAGCATCAAGGACAAAGACATCGAGTGGAGGACAGGGAAAACGGTAACTTAAATGTTTTTTTCATACAATATGCTGAGATTTTGGACCATCAATACAAAATAATTTATTCAATCTGTTTTTCGACTTGTTTCCCCAGATTCCCACATCAATATGTTCTGCAGATTGTCCAGTGGGAACAAGAAAAGCTCGAATCAAAGGAAAACCAACGTGCTGCTTTGACTGTATCCTGTGTGCAGATGGAACAATAGCCAACTCAACAGGTATGAAAAGCATGTTTGTGAAAATTACTACTGTACAAAGTTTGGTATCATAGTAAAAAATATCATCTTTGTATACTCCTGATTCTTAAACCCAAAGCCTTTTTGGATCTCCATGAAAGTCACAGATTTCTTTGAAACTGTTGTAATTTTTATTAAAATATACAGCACATATACAAAGCTGAATATCTCTGTTTATGTTTAACAGGTGCCACTGACTGCACTCCCTGTCCTCGGGAATTCTGGTCCAATGAGAGGAAAGATGAGTGTATTCCTAAAACTATTGAGTTCCTGACATATGCTGAGCCAATGGGAATAGCTCTCTCAGTCGTATCCCTGCTGGGTGCTTCACTGTCTTTGGTCACAATGATCGTCTTCATCTGTTACAGAGAAACTCCGGTCATAAAGGCCAGCAACTCTGAGCTCAGCTGTTTACTGCTGTTTTCTCTTTTCTTGTGTTTTCTCTGTCCTCTCACTTTCATTGGCAGACCCACAGTCTGGACATGCATGCTGCGACACACAGCTTTTGGTGTGACCTTTGCTCTTTGTATCTCCTGTGTCTTAGGTAAAACTATTGTTGTAGTTACAGCTTTCAGGGCCACCATCCCTGGCAAGAAAACAGCAGAAAAGTTTGGTCCTGCACAGCAGAGGATCATCGTTTGCGCCTGCACTTTGATTCAGATAGTCATATGTGTGTTATGGCTCAAATTGAACTCACCTTTCCCAGACATGGTTTTCAGATACAGCAATAAGAAGATTGTTCTGGAGTGTAACACAGGCTCTGAGGCTGCTTTCTATGCAGTACTGGGGTACATTGGGATCCTTGCAGTGCTTTGTTTGGCCCTGGCATTTCTAGCAAGAAAACTTCCAGATAACTTTAATGAGGCTAAATTCATCACCTTCAGCATGCTGATATTCTGTGCGGTCTGGATCACCTTTATCCCAGCTTATGTCAGCTCTCCTGGGAAGTTCACTGTAGCTGTGGAGATATTTGCTATTTTATCATCAGCATTTGGATTATTAATCAGCATATTTGCTCCAAAGTGTTACATCATATTGATAAAGCCGGAGAAAAATACCAAGAGACATGTCATGGGAAAAATAAAGAAATAAAACATGTTTAAATATTTGGTTCCTTTTTGAATTTTTATACAAAGTGAGGCTAAACTATGAAATATGAGTATAGCAGCTGTTTAGGATTCTTGATGTATCAAAAAAAGCACCTTTTGCACCAAGGGGTTTAATTTTAAAGGCTGCCCACAGAACATATCAGGGCATTTTAACCCACTTAAAGCACTTACGGTTTAGTTTTTTTGGTAAGAATAAGAAATAAGTCTTGCAGCTTTCAGCCAGTGGCCCACTGCATAGCGGTTATATCCTGATGTTGCATTTTTGCTAGATTATCCTTTTTACGTGCAAATGAATTCACATCTCGGCTCCTGTTATTTAAAAAAAGGTTTTGTGCATTACTATTGAATCAGTACGCAAAAGCCCTCATTGAACGCGAGATAAAAGAAAGTTAAGAAATATTTAAAATACTGTGAACCTATTTATCAGTAAAGCCTGTTGTATCTGTCTGCAATGCTTTAGACCAATTAATATACACACGTGGACAAAATTGTTGGTACCCCTCAGTTAAAGAAGGAAAAACCCACAATTCTCACTGAAATCACTTGAAACCTACAAAAGTAACAATAAATAAAAATTTATTGAAAATTAAATAATCAAAATCAGCCATTACGTTTGAAATGTTGATTAACATAATTATTTAAAAAAAACAAACTAATGAAATAGGGCTGGACAAAAATGATGGTACCTCTATAAAAGATTGAAAACTATTTGACCAGAGTGACATGATTAACTCAGGTGTGTCCTTTAATTGACATCACAGGTGTTTCCAAACTCATAATCAGTCAGTCTGCCTATTTAAAGGGAGACAAGTAGTCACTCTGCTGTTTGGTGAAAAGGTGTGTACCACACTGAACATGGACAACAGAAAGCGAAGGAGAGAATTGTCCCAGGACATCCGAAAAAAATTATAGACAAACATCTTAAAGGTGCAGGCTATAAGACCATCTCTAAACAGCTTGAAGTTCCTGTGACAACAGTGGCTCATATTATTCAGAAGTTCAAGACCCACGGGACAGTAGCCAACCTCCCTGGACGTGGCCGCAAGAGGAAAATTGATGACAGATTGAAGAGACAGATCGTTCGAATTGTATCCAAAGAGCCCAGGACAACCTCCAAAGAAATTAAAGGTGAACTCCAAGGCCAAGGTACATCAGTGTCAGATCGCACCATTCGTCGTTGTTTGAGCCAAAGTGGACTTCATGGGAGACGACCAAGGAGGACACCACTGCCAAAAAAAAATCATAAAAAAGCGAGACTGGAATTTGCAAAAATGCATGTTGACAAGCCACAAAGCTTCTGGGAGAATGTCCTTTGGACAGATGAGACCAAACTGGAGCTTTTTGGTAAGGCACATCAACTCTATGTTCATAGACTCAAAAACCAAGCATACGAAGAAAAGAACACTGTCCCTACGGTGAAACATGGAGGAGGCTCAGCAATGTTTTGGGGCTGCTTTGCTGCATCTGGCACAGGGTGTCTTGAATGTGTGCAAGGTAAAATGAAATCTGATGACTATCAAGGCATTCTGGAGAGAAATGTGCTGCCTAGTGTCAGAAAGCTTGGTCTCAGTCGCAGGTCATGGGTCTTCCAACAGGACAACGATCCAAAACACACAGCCAAAAACACCCAAGAATGGCTGAGAGAAAAGCGTTGGACTATTCTAAAGTGGCCTTCCATGAGCCCAGATCTGAATCCCATTGAACATCTGTGGAAGGAGCTGAAACATGCCATTTGGAGAAGACTACCATCAAACCTGAGACAACTGGAGCAGTTTGCTCATGAGGAGTGGGCCAAAATACCTGTTGACAGCTGCAGAACGCTCATTGACAAATACAGAAATCGTTTAATTGCAGTGATTGCCTCAAAAGGTTGTGCAACAAAATATTAAGTTATGGGTACCATCATTTTTGTCCAGCCCTATTTCATTAGTTTGTTTTTTTTAAATAATTATGTTAATCAACAATTCAAAAGTAATGGCTGATTTTGATTATTTAATTTTCAATAAATTTTTATTTATTGTTACTTTTGTAGGTTTCAAGTGATTTCAGTGAGAATTGTGGGTTTTTCCTTCTTTAACTGAGGGGTACCAACAATTTTGTCCACGTGTGTATATGTGTCGGTGTTTTTGAATGACCATCGTGTCAGAATATAGTCTGTAGTATTTTAATAAGCATTATCAGACCATCCTTCTCGATATATTTGACTTGTATTACATTGCATTGTATCACATTTATTTTTGTGTGTTGTTGATAGTTGAAAGCAGAGGTTATATAATCTGTATAAAGCTTTGAATGCTTGATGAACATGTTTTACATGCATTAATGTACATTTATAGACTTGAAATATGCACTTTTATGTTCACTGTCTTTTTATTTACATGTCCCACCCAATGAGGTGTCACAGAGATTTTAATAACTTTGCTTTATAAACACTTATCCATGTATATGATTTGCTTCCAAATATAAGCAAAATGAATCAAATACACTTGGAATATTTAAGAGATCACTGTCCGCTGTCACTAAATGGATCAAAATTTAAATTTGTGAAACCCTAACTTAGTTTTATGAGTGTGTGTGAACTTGCATGCAAAGGATACATGGAAAGTAAAATCACTTTTCCCCACTGTATCACACTCATATTAGCTGTTAAAGTCCTATGGGGAAAAATGTCAACCTTTTACGTAGAGACACGTCCACCTGCATCGGATACAGGTGTTATAAGAGCTGTGTCCTCACTTTTCATTTAATTTCTGCTGCAAACATGTCTGAGCTGCAGAGAGTAGTTCTCTCGTCACTGTTTGTCCTTTGTTTAAACACTGTCTCTGGTTGTGAACTGTTAAATAGGTTCCACATGCCAAGTTTGTTTAAACATGGAGACATAATGATTGGAGGAATTTTTCAAGTTTCTGAAAAAGAGATCAGCAGCATTTCTACATTTGAGAACAAGCCACCTGGAGTTAAATGTGTGGGGTGAGTTAATGAGTATTTGGCTTTTTCATCCATCACATATATTTCTCTAATTGAAGTTTTAATAATTTAAAACTTTAAGAAAATGTTAAGCTGCAACCCTATTGTTGAAATCCTCTTTTAGATTTGACCTCCGTGCTTATCGATGGATCCAAGTGATGATGTTTGCAATTGAAGAAATCAACAAAGATCCTGCTCTCCTGCCAAACATTTCTCTTGGCTATGGGATCTTTGACTCATGTGCATCTCCCACAAATACTTTGCGTGCTGCACTGACACTGGCAAGCAGACCAGAGGAGACTTCAGCTTGTCCTCCAGCCATACCTGCCATCATAGCAGAGGGAGGATCGACTCAGACCTTAGCTGTGGCAGAAGCTTTTGGACCTTTTCAAGTACCAATAGTAAGAGATTTGATAATGTGTTTATTGTATAACTTACTGTCACTTGGTGTATTACTTTTAGATGTTTTTGTGATAGGATGGAAGTTGAAGTTTAATTTAAGGTATAATTGGTTTCATGATCTCTTAACATTACCTGCTTTTTTCCTGAGTATAAACCGAGTGTTTGATGAATCGATCTATTCAGCAGCAGATGAGTGGCAGTTTAAATAATCAGTTTCAGCTTAGTTTTTGTGCAACTCTGAATTTTAATTGTAAAGTTAATAATACTAGCAGCACAAGATGACCCAGACTTAAAAAATACATTTTCAAAAACTCCCTTTTATCTTTAAAGCAGTTAAATCAGATTAACACACTAAATGAGGGGCAATGCCAGGAAAAATCCAATTATAAAGGAGAAGGGATTGTTGCATTATTGCTGCATGATTTTTTTCAACTGATTTAATTTAAGTTAACTTTTTATTTATTTATTAATTTTTTTTCTTTCTGACTGTTTCTTTGTAGGTGAGTTACTTCTCAACATGTGCCTGCCTCAGTGACAGAGCTAAGTATCCTTCATTTTTTCGAACTATTCCCAGCGATTATTTCCAGGCCAAGGCTTTAGCAGCTCTGGTTAAACGCTTTGGTTGGCAGTGGATTGGAGCCATACACTCAGACAATGAGTACGGAAAAAATGGTGTCCAGGCTTTTACCAAAGAGGTTAAAAAACATGGAGTTTGCATTGCATTCGTCAGGACCTTACTACATACTTACACCATGGATAAAATTCGGAGTATTGTTAAAACGATTAAGCAGTCAACAGTCAAGGTCATCCTTGCTTTTGTCCCGTATATCGACTTTTACCCTTTGATGCAAGAGGTTGTAAAACAGAACATTACAGGAATTCAGTGGATTGCTAGTGAAGCCTGGATCACAGCAATTCAACTCTCAACACCTGAAATGTACCAAGCTTTTGGTGGTGCCTTGGGGTTTGTGGTGCAGAAGATGGCGATTCCAAAACTGAAACCTTTTCTCACAAACATTAGCCCCTATACTGATCCAAGTGCAGCCTTTGTAAAGGATTTCTGGGAGGTGATGGTGGGCTGCAGACCTGTTTCATCTGGAGAGCACACAGGCACTGAGACAATAGATGAAGTATGCACAGGCAGTGAGACTTTCATGGACCTCCAGGATGTGTTCTTCGATGTCACTCAGCTCCGAGTTTCTTATAATGTCTATAAAGCAGTTAATGCTATTGCTCACGCCCTGCATCAGCTGGTTTTCTGCCAACCAGTTGGAGGAAAAATCATGGAACCATGTTTGAATTTATCAGATATTCAGCCCAAGGAGGTGAGAAATCTTACTAGGAAAATTTACAATCTCTCCAACTTTTTAGTGTTAACACTAATAAATACTGTGCTTCTTTGCTCAGGTCACTGATCACCTACAAAAAGTGAATTTCAGGAATCAGTTTGGCGATGATGTGTTTTTTGATGCCAATGGTGACCCTCCTGCTTCTTATGATATAATTAACTGGCAGCTGAGAGACGGTCATGTGCATTATGTCACAGTGGGTCATTTTACTTCTACTGCTGATGGTGACTATAAACTCAGCATCAAGGACAAAGACATTGTGTGGAGGACAGATAAAATGGTAACTTTCATGGCTTTTTCATACAATATCCTAAGTACAAGTAAAAAAAAAAATAAAAAACTTCATCTATTTTGTCCTTGTTTCCCCAGATTCCCACATCAATATGTTCTGCAGATTGTCCAGTAGGAACCAGAAAAGCTCGAATCAAAGGAAAACCAACGTGCTGCTTTGACTGTATCCTGTGTGCAGATGGAACAATAGCCAACTCAACAGGTATGAAAAGCATGTTTGTGAAAATCACTGATGTACAAGATTCAGTATCATAGTAATTTTGAAGTCTTTTTATAGTCCTGATTGTTAAAGGCAAAGCGTTTTTTGATCTTTTTTAAATCCACAGATTTATTCAGGCCACTGGGCAAATGCACAGAGGCACTGGCCACTGTGGATTTTTTCTCATTTCTCTTCTGGACAAATTTCAATTCAGTACTAGTCCTACAGCTTGAAGAGTTGTAGGACAAATTATATATCAAACCTTGCAGTTAGATCATGATTAATGTGCCATTACTCTTTGTTATCTATTATGAATTTTTATGACATACGTAGCAAAAAAATGAAAAAAGTGTTGCTTTGAAATTAATGGGACAAGTAACAAAAGAGCAATTATTGGAGTTCAAACATCTCCCGGCTTGGCATACTTTCACCTAGAGACTCCATTTAAACATTGAAATGTAGACACAGGTCTTGTCTATAAGTGTATATATGCACGTTGTGATAGGTATCACAGTTTTTGATCATTTACTGTTCAATGACCATGATCATTTTTGGAGAAATTTTAAGGTTATAATGGGTGTATATTGCATTGAATGTTCGTGTCAGAGTGGGTGAAATCATCGGCCAGAGTGAGAGAAGTTGCATAAAATTTTCTAAAACTTTGGACTTTTCATGCTCCTTCTGACCACAAATTACACTCTACATCCATGTTTTATTCCACAGTTGTGGACATATTTGTTCTGTCTCTAACGAGGTGTTCATCCAAGCAGAGAGACTTACAAATTGCAAATAATGAGCCTCTAAGTGCAGCAATGTCTCTCTCTGCTTCTCGTTGATACTAATACAAAGAATTCCTGAGAGAGGCAGAATGAACACCTGTTTATAACTTGAAAGTATGTCCAAACTATGTACTGTAGAAACAACAAAATCATATCAAAGGATTGAAGAAGTCCTTACGATGACAACAGACTGCTTTTTTCTCCTTTCCAAATTTCCCAGAGGAAATTTTCTAGTTTAGAACTCTTGTAATTTTTATTAAAATATACAGCACATACACAGGGCTGAATATCTCTGTTTATGTTTAATAGGTGCAACTGACTGCACTCCCTGTCCTCGGGAATTCTGGTCCAATGAGAGGAAAGATGAGTGCATTCCTAAAACTATTGAGTTCCTGACATATGCTGAGCCAATGGGAATAGCTCTTTCGGTTGTATCCCTGCTGGGTGCTTCACTGTCTTTGGTCACTATGATCATCTTCATCTTCTACAGAGAAACTCCTGTCATAAAGGCCAGCAACTCTGAGCTCAGCTGTTTCCTGTTGTTTTCTCTTTTCTTGTGTTTTCTCTGTCCTCTCACTTTCATTGGCAGACCCACAGTCTGGACATGCATGCTGCGACACACAGCTTTTGGTGTGACCTTTGCTCTTTGTATCTCCTGTGTTTTAGGTAAAACTATTGTTGTAGTCACAGCTTTCAGGGCCACCATCCCTGGCAAGAAAGTAGCAGAAAAGTTTGGCCCTGCACAGCAGAGGATCATAGTTTGCTCCTGCACTTTGATTCAGATAGTCATATGTGTGTTGTGGCTCAAATTAAAGCCACCTTTCCCAGACATGGTTTTCACATACAGCAATAAGAAGATTGTTCTGGAGTGTAACACAGGCTCTGAGGCTCCATTTTACTCAGTGCTGGGATACATTGGGATCCTTGCAGTACTTTGTTTGGCCCTGGCATTTCTTGCAAGAAAGCTTCCTGATAACTTTAATGAGGCTAAATTCATCACCTTCAGCATGCTGATATTCTGTGCTGTCTGGATCACCTTTATCCCAGCTTATGTCAGCTCTCCTGGAAAATTCACCGTAGCTGTGGAGATATTTGCTATTTTATCATCAGCATTTGGATTATTAATCAGCATATTTGCTCCAAAGTGTTACATCATATTGATAAAGCCGGAGAAAAATACCAAGAGACATGTCATGGGAAAAGTCTGAGAAAAGTAATTCTTGGTTTTTATTTTTAACTGGATTATTTGATCATTTGTTTTGACTCAATGCAGAAGCACATGTTCAAAACAAGCTTATACATCTTATACAATCTCGCATTGACATGTAGGGTTATTATCCACATCAGTAAAGCAAAGTACACATGCCATACACAAATTTATTGTAATCACTGTCAAAATCAATGAACCAGGTTTATTTCTTGACATTTAAGAATCATCACATAAGCGTATTTTGTATCTTAATTAGTTTTTTTTTTCTTTTATTATAATTCAAGCTGATGAGATCATCTGTATTGAATGACAAAACCATTTTGTCTGAGTTTAGGTAGATCAAATACCGCAAACAATTCAAAGTGTAAGTCTCTACACTGAATTCTTTAAATGGATCTCTTTCTTCCCTGATGCTGTGTATGGTCTAAATCTGCTCCTTTTGCAAATCATTTAGAGATAACACTGTTTTGAAACTGAGCTATGTAAATAAAGTTTATCTGATTGCTTTATTAATTGATTAGCTGATATTTGTGGCAATTTTAATTTATGATAAATGTCTGAGATTAGTATTGATATCAGTCAAAAGGCAATAAGGATATTTCTGTCGTAAGGACCCCACCAGAAATTAATCCAAATATTAAACTTATAAATCACATATTTTCTCTTTTCTCTGGAAAATGAGGGTAAAAAACACTAACAGACAAGAAATTAGAAAAAATAAATGAGTTGATTTTAGGATAAATACTGTTACAACATCAGTGCAATAAATGATTAGATTGTAATGATGAATAATGATGCATGCGTGAGAGGTTCAAAGTTAAGTTATGGCTGTTTAAGTTAATACAAGTGGGTAAATATGATATGAAATATAAACTTATAAAAACTGCAGTGTACAGTCCTGGAGTAGGTTCACTGAAGATCAAGGCTACTGGTGGTTTGTGTGTTTAAGCTAAGAAGAGGGTTCAGGTCAACCAAAGACGAACCACACACAGCAAGGGGTAGGGGTACTGCAAGAACACTTGAAAGTGTTTTGTGTGTGTGTCCACATATTTCAGCACACCTTTATTTTAATTTCTTATCACTTATCCATATAATTTTATCAATCATTCAACTATAGTTTGGTTTTAGATACCAGCATAATCAATCAAAACAGAGACTTTCTGCGTAAGTGCATAATTCAGAACATCTGAGGTGATTTACAAATTAAAAAATCCCAGTGATCATAATTACAATTTTAGCTCTCATAGAAAGCCACACTTGAATCAGAACATTAAAATGTCATCATTTTATTACAAACACTCATAAGTAATAGTAGGTCTTAATTATTTTTTCTTAATATTCAATAGACCCAAAAAATATTAAGAATGAACTGAAGCTGAATGCTGTCCCCTCTTTAAGATATAATGTGCAACTGTGTAGATAAAAAAATAGATATGTGTAATTATGTAAGACTGAATGTGTGTACTTGTACATAAACGGTAAATGAAATAATTTATTCCCCACTGTATCTCACTCATATCAGCTGTTAATGTCCTTTGGGAAACAAATCAACCTTTTACGTAGAGACACATGTCCACCTGCATCTGATACAGGTATTATAAGAGCTGTGTCCTCACTTTTTCTTCAATATCTGCAGCAAACATGCCTGAGCTGCAGAGAGTAATTATCTCGTCACTGTTTGTCCTTTGTTTGAACACTGTTTCTGGCTGTGAACTGTTAAATAGATTCCACATGCCAAGTTTGTTTAAACATGGAGACATAATGATCGGAGGAATTTTTCCAATTTTTGAAAAAGAGATCAGCAGCATTTCTACATTCGAGAGCAAGCCACCTGGAGTTAAATGTGTGGGGTGAGTTTTACTAAATTTGACTTTTCCATTTCTATTTTACATACGTTGTATATACTTATGACTGTATGAAAATGTTAAGCTACAATGCTGTTGTTTTAGATTTGACCTCCGTGCTTATCGGTGGATCCAAGTGATGATGTTTGCAATTGAAGAAATCAACAAAGACCCTGCTCTCCTGCCAAATATTTCTCTTGGCTATGGGATCTTTGACTCGTGTGCAACTCCCACAAATACTTTGCGTGCTGCGCTGACACTGGCAAGCAGACCAGAGGAGACTTCAGCTTGTCCTCCAGCCATACCTGCCATCATAGCAGAGGCAGGATCGTCTCAGTCTTCAGCTGTGGCTGGAGCTCTTGGACCCTTTCAAGTGCCAATAGTAACATTGTTTATCATATAACTTTCTGTCATAAAAGATATTTTTGTAGTCATTACTCATATTTTCCTGATAGATTTTAAGTTGTAGTTCAGTTTCAGATATCATTTGTGTCTCCATCGAGAATGTTACCTGCTTCTTTCTACTTTTTGTAATTATAAAACTAGCGTTTAGTTTAAATTTCCTTCTACAGAAGACTGTGACATTTGAAAATAGTTTAATTAAATTAGCAGCAGCAGATTAAGAAGCACAGATAGACAAATCAATGGGCATCGCAATTTAAGCTCAGCGCTTATGTCACACATTATTTATTGTGAAGTAGAGAAGTAGAGAGATAGAAAGGGCACACGTTTTGTCAACTAAAACTCATGATAAATCCCAAAAAACTAAAATGCCATAAAGTAAGTTAGAGACTGAGGCTTTACATAAAGGATAGTAACTAAAACTAAGTTGTACAATCTAAAAACTTTCTAAATTAATATAATATTATCGAGAGATGTGTTTTGGTCTAATCTCATAATTTCTCTCAATTGCTCTGTATTATACTGTGGGTTACTTTTAAAGATCTTGCTTGAAATCTTTTTCTGAAACATCTACAATACTAAGACAACTTTAAGTTTTTATTCTCATGCCTATACTTTTAATAATATGACTGAGATGCGCATATTTCATGCTGTTAATCTTTAAATATGTTCAAATTTATGTTATGATGTAGACAGTAAGTGGGGAAATATTAAAAATACTACCTTTTAACTTGGACTTGAACCCCCCTTTTCATCAGTCCCCTCTAAGCCATCAGCAGAGCCCTCTGTTCATCATGGATCCATCTACTGCTAAGAAAATATAACACACTCGGGGTGAGGCATGTGCTCAGGAGCAGGGGTGCATCCACACCTGTTAGACTGGGGTGGCCCAACCTCTGCAATGACTCTGTTGGGCTGGCATTAAGTATGTAAGCCCACACAGTGATAAATTAGGGCCCGAGCCAGCTGCAGAGCAGCCGGGCGTAGGCCCTATTATTCCCCAAGTGGTTTTTCTTTGTTTCTTTCTTTCTTTCTTTCTTTCTTTCTTAGGGCCCGAGCGTAGCTGCTAAGCAGCTGCGAGAGCCCTCTTGTTCCTGCATGTTTCCTTCTTTTGTTATTATTAGGGCCCGAGCGTAGCTGCTAAGCAGCTGCGAGAGCCCTCTTGTTCCTGTAGTTTCCTTCTTTTGTTATTATTATTATTTTTCCTCCCCTTTGAACTGGAAAATGGCCCACTTCCCACTGGCGAAAACTCATGAAATTTGGCAGGACGACCGGGCCTGGTGAAAAATTTGATATTCCGAAGTCGCCCAAACAAGAAAATGCAAAATGGCTCCATAGCGCCCCCTAAGGTGAAAATTCACACTATTGACTGTCACGCCTGTACGCTTTGTCAAAATGACACAAAAATTGACACACACATGTATCTCAATAAGATCTACAAAAAAGTCAGTGCGGGCGTATCTGTCAAATGTACGGTTAAAGGGTTATTTCGCATTTTTTGCCGATCCGCACACATTGGAATTTCGCTAACTCCTCCGAAGGCTTTCGTTCCACCGGCACCACATTTGCTCAGGCCAATCTACACCCCATGGCCATTAAAAGTTATTCAAATCATGACGCTGCACCCCACGGTTTAGGTTCTAGGGGGCGCCAAAGATAACCCTAAGATCCACATATTTAAAAGTCTTATAACTTTTTATTTTTGCCCTCACTGGCCTCCAAGTTTTCTAGGATGATGCAATGTCCAGCCATCAACACATTTGTGAAGGAATTTTTACTCCCCAAAAGAGCGCCCCCCCATGGCAGGAGAAAAAAGTCCATTTTTTCTTGTTCTTTCTTTCTTTCTTAGGGCCCGAGCGTAGCTGCTAAGCAGCTGCGAGAGCCCTCTTGTTCCTGTAGTTTCCTTCTTTTGTTATTAGGGCCCGAGCCAGCTGCAGAGCAGCCGGGCGTAGGCCCTATTATTCCCCAAGTGGTTTTTCTTTGTTTCTTTCTTTCTTTTTTCTTTTTCCTCCCCTTTGAACTGGAAAATGGCCCACTTCCCACTGGCGAAAACTCATGAAGTTTGGCAGGACGACCGGGCCTGGTGAAAAATTTGATATTCTGAAGTCGCCAAAACAATAAAATGCAAAATGGCTCCATAGCGCCCCCTAAGGTGAAAATTCACACTATTCACTGTCACGACTGTACGCTTTGTCAAAATGACACAAAAATTGACACACACATGTATCTCAATAAGATCTACAAAAAAGTCAGTGCGGCCGTATCTGTCAAAATTACGGTTAAAGGGTTATTTCGCATTTTTTGCCGATCTGCACACATTGGAATTTCGCTAACTCCTCCGAAGGCTTTCGTTCCACCGGCACCACATTTGCTCAGGCCAATCTACACCCCGTGGCCATTAAAAGTTATCAAAATCATTACGCTGCACCCCAAGGTTTAGGTTCTAGGGGGCGCCAAAGATAACACTAAAATCCACATATTTAAAAGTCTTATAACTTTTTATTTTTGTCCTCACTGGCCTCCAAGTTTTCTAGGATGATGCAATGTCCAGCCATCAACACATTTGTGAAGGAATTTTTACTCCCCAAAAGAGCGCCCCCCCATGGCAGGAGAAAAAAGTCCATTTTTTCTTGTCCCCTAAGGTGAAAATACACATTGTTGAGTGTCACGCCTATACGCTTTGTCAAAATGACACAAAAATTGACACACACATGTAACTCAATAAGATCTACGAAAAAGTCAATGCGCGCGT